GAGGAAAGAAGCAGGATGGAGAGCAAAAAGGAGACCTGGAGGAGGCACGGGGAGCAGAGAGACATGTGAAGAGGTTGCACTTGCTTCTTGGTCTTGAACTGATTGAAACGGATGTGGGTGAGAGACCCACGGGGAGGTTAACAATGGCAGCTTTTATCTTGATTTTGCTCCTTCTGTCCCAGACGTACGGGGCCACTTCTGCCTCTTTCCTATGGTGTAGGGTAAGGAAAAATATCAGGCTTTTCTGCCCTCCTGCCATCAGGATAGATGATGGATCCTTGTCCTGAATGCATGCCTGATGGCGGGCACCTGAAATAGGGTGTGGGCATAGGTAGATGTGAGTCACCTGGGCTAAGACTGGGCTTTTAAGGGTGGCGTCACGGGGACGCCAGCAGCAGCAGTAGAAGCAGCAGTAGAAGCCGAAGCCGAAGCCGAAGCTGAAAGAGAAGCCGAGAAGCAGCAGAACGAACTCCAGAGAGCTCAGATAGAGTGAAGACTTGCTGGGGCTGGGAGGCCTGCCAGTCTCCCAGCCCCCCAGCCAGCACCCCTGCCTGCCATATGCCTGGTGAACCCCAATAAAAAACCTGCAAAACCACTGAGGACTTTGACTCCTCCTTTACCCGGTCTGCATGGGATCAGAAAACCTGCACTGTGCCCATGTCCTGCCTTTACATATGGGCCACCACCAGAAGATGTTTTAGACCTGTGGCAGGCTTTTGTGCCTTGCACTGGGCCAATCCTATTCAGCTGGGCATTTACCCATGAGGGGATGGGTAATTTCCGATGCTTGATTTGGAAACTCTATTCTTTGTCTTTTCTGTATTGCACACTAACTGCATTAAAGTTCCTTTCTCTATAAAAAGGACCCAATCTTTGGGGGTAGAAGCCCTGTAACACCTAGGTAAATTAATCACATGAATGATCTCATGTTTCCCATGTACTAATTCCTTCTCTTTTGTTTTAAATTTATCCCAGTTGTTGGCCTCCCTGGCAGACTGTGCCTGAGTCTCAGTGCCTGAGTTTGATCCCTAGCCAGGGAGCTGACCCACATGTCGCAGCAGACTTCTCCTGTCTTGTCCACTGCTCCCCTCAGCAGTGTATTTCAGTCAATCTGCCTGTTCTGTTCCTTACTCTGTCTCTGGTGAATTTCTCTCACTCCCTATACCTCTGGCCTACACCCCCGCTTTTCTATGCAAAAAAAAATAAAATAAAATAAATTTACCCCAAAAAAGTGAGCCACCAAACCCTATACATTCCAATAATGACTGAGCACCCAGGTCCTCCCTGCCCACCAATAACCTCACTGCATGGCCCCAGATGTGCTCTGTACCCTCCAGGACAGAGTAGTAAATCTTGTATTTTAAAGTACCAAGGTGGTTGTTGCTGACTGAGGTGCATCTTGCAGTCGTAACAAGAACCAAAGTGCTGTCTGACCAAAACATTGACTCAGGTGAGGAAAATATGGGTGGAAACTTGCCACAGTTTTGGTCCAGATAAGTGCCCCCAGACATTTCTAGATGATAACCATCATGAGGATAAAATGGAGCATGAAACAAGCATGCATCCCTCTCAGTCTGAGTCAGGGAAGAGACTAATCCTCTGGCTTCCAAGTGTGGGGCATTCCCACTGTAGTGACCATCTTTACCACTCTGCGAATACGCACTCACACCTTATCTGACAAGTGCATTTGGGGGAAGGAACTGAACTTCAGCCTTTTCCCCCTCTGTGTGGGGCTAGCCAGACCCCAGAGAAGGCGCTGTGGTCAACCTGGGCTGTGCAGCCAGCATCCAGCGGAGCTCTGTGAGGAGGCCAGCTGTGTCATGCCTGAACAGGTTTGGCAAATTCAAGTGTGAAATATCAGAAAGTCCACTGGGGTTACAGGGCAAAGCCAAGTTTTGTGAGTTGTGAAACTGATATTTTTATGGCTGATATCTGTGACCAGTCTCATACTCAAATGGGAAGTTAAGAACGCCAGTGATTTTTCTCCATAGTCCCAATGGTGGACAAACTCCATATGCCAAACTTCTCACAGTGATTCCCGCTTGGGAATCACTCTTTACAAATGAAACTCTTTACAAATGTTTTATTTTCAACATCAGGAAAAACTGTCAACAAAAAAATCATGTTTAAACAAATAGGCATGGGTGGGCTAGTGGGTAACAGATTATGCTAAAACTTGTAGAACCTGCTTTGAGTCAAACAGACTCCATTGCCTCTAATTGCCTTGTTGAGATTTCTAGTAAAAATCCTGGGGCCTCCCTGGTGGCGCAGCGGTTGAGCGCTGGGTTGCGAAGCTGCCCACGGCCTCTGCAGCGCCAGTTCGATCCCTGGCTGCTCCCCGGCCACTGCAGGAGGGTCCTACATGGCATGCAGACCTCTCCTGCTGCCCGCTGCTCCCCTCAGCAGTGTACTTCGGTCCTTCTGCCTGCTCTGCTACCCGCTCTGGCTCTGGTGAATTCTCTCACCCTCCCGCGCTTCTGACTGTACCCAGTGCATGTATAAACAAGCAAACAAACAAACAAATAAATAAATAAAACATGCCTCTATTAAAAAAAAAAAAAAGTAAAAATCCTGACTCGTTATTCAGTGACTCCAAAAAAAACAAGTGATCATCTGCTGATAGTGACAACAGACTCCCACACCGCAGCCTTCCATCTGAACTTTTGCCCCAAACCAGAGACAAAGGGCTTAAGAACTGCAAGCGGTGAAACTAAGTCACACACGCACAGAAAGTCAAATTCTGAACCACAAGATTATCTTTATGCAGTTGATTATACATAGCAGCCACCAAGGGATAGGCGCCAAAGAGACACCAGCTCCCCAGAAGGTGGGAGTGCTGGGGTTCCATTAGGGGAGAAGGAACATGAGGAGAGTGCAGGGCTTCGCATGTCCAGATCCAAGGAGGTGCGGGGCAGTCTAGGAGACATGAGTCAGGGTGTTTGACTGTCCCAGGTGCTCTCTCAGCAACCAGAGGTGTTTTTTTCTGATGCCACTACTGACCCCCGAGAAGCAGAGATTTTTTTATTAAGGATGCAATGTGACCAGCTTTCCAGGTTCCCAGAAATGTAGTTGAAGCAAGTTAATGGTTAATCACAAGAAGGGGTAGAGACAAAGGGTGGTTAGAGTATAATTCCACTTGTCCCCAATTGTTAGTCTAAGGGAGTTTTTATTGCAAAATGGAAGGGCTCTGGCTACAGAACCAATTCAAAAAGCTTTACCACAAATTACCTAACCCCAGACCATCTGCCTGCCTGATCCTTTAAAACTCCCCTTCATCCTGACCCTGATGAACCAGACCTTGGGACTGCCGCTTAGTTGTGGATCCAAATCATGAAACCTATGCTTGAATAAACACCTTCAGGGGGCGCCTCCTGGTGGCGCAAGGGTTAAATCTCAGTGATATCAAACTATTGCCAGCCACTGTGGCAGGAGTTCAATCCCCAGCCAGGGAGCTAACTCACATGGCGCAGCAGACCTCTCCTGTCTCACCCGCTACTCCTCTCAGCAGTGTATTTCAGTGGATCCGCCTGTTCTGCTTCGCACTCTGTCTCTGGTAGATCCTCTCACACACACACACCCCTCCAGCCTAGACCCTAGTTCTTGTATGCATAAATAAAATAAATCGTTTCTAAAATAAAAAAAAAAAACACCTTTTGGCGGCATTACAGCTATACAATGAATACTATTCAGGAATAAACTACTGAGTCCTGCAACAACCCAGATCATTCTAAAAATCATTATGCTGATTTGTATTTGAATTGGGAGAACTACAGTAAGTACATGCTGTATGGTTCCATTTACCAAAAAATTCTAAGCAAAGCAAATCTATAAGGACAGAAAGGAGATCAATGGTTGCCTGGAGTTAGGGGTGGAGAGAGTGAGCAGGCTATCAGGGGAAACTTTTGGGGGTGATGGAAATGTTCATTATCTTGATTATGTGATGTCACAAGTGTATGTCAAAACGTATCAAATTGTGCACTTCTATTGTACACTTATATATGTGCCATCTGTTTATGTTAACTATACAGTACCTCAATAAAGGTGTAAAACAAAATTATATGTGTTGTCTTTGTCCTAAGAGAGAGCAATTATTGGGTGATTCTTCCAGACATTAAATGTGAACAAGGGAGCTTTGTTTAACAGTTATGATTGTGGAATAAGATTACTCAGGTTCAACAGTTGTGTGACTTTGGGCAACTTAACTTCCCTGTGCCTTTGTTTCCTCCTCTGTAGCTGCTGGTAGGAGTTACCCAGGAAGGACTATGCACAGAGTACAACAGGTAATAAACAGTCAACAAATGTCAGCCATTGTGATTATTTTTACTTTCTTGGAAGAGGTAGTAGTCATTTCTATTTTCTATATTTTATGATACTTTGACATCTTAGGTTTTGCAAACCTGGGGAAGGAGCAGCCTTCCCATGGTTAGCTAATTTCTAGTGACAATACACCACAGGAACTGCCAAATGCTACAAATCAGGGTTTTCCCACCACCACCCACTATCACTGCCTGTTTTAACACTTATGTGCATACCACTGCCTCTAGCTTCATGCCGCTGCTCCATCACCAAAAGGCAGGCAGGAGAAGGACGCTTTCTCCCCCAGAGATGTTCCAGGTGCGAATTCCACAGCCCTGTTCCAGAGCCCAGCACAGTATGATCCCTCCCTCATACTCCCAGGGGACCCCTGATCTCCAGACACCCTCAACCAGCAGACCTCACTACCTGCTGCAAGACTGTTTCAGTCCCCATAACCCAGTTCCCCAGGGGGCCTGGACTGGTGCTGCCAGGTTTAGGCACAGTGCAGAAGCAAAGCCCACCCATGGCTACTGAAGCATCACAGCTTTCATGGCCAGATGGAGAAGGAATTTCCACTCCACCCTCTAGTGAGAAAGGCATGGAAGAAACATACAAGGCCTTCTCCTTAGGGAGAGCTTGGAAGAAATCATGGGGACCCAGCTTAGCCCCTTTTCTCTCTCCTGGTTCTGCCCACCAGAGCAGGGAAGCTGGGCTGGTGCTGCTCCTATCTAACTCAGCTCAGAAAAACCTCATCTCTCCGGTTAGCACCCATGACCACCTTCAGTTTGCCACCTGCATCTTTTAAGTGGTTCAAAAGGCAGGAAAAGGAGTTGCTACTTTTTGAATCCTAAACCCTGAGCCACCTGTGAGGCCCCATCCAACCTCACCCGGTCGTCTCTCACTTCCTATTACTCACCCCTCATTCATTCAGCCATACAAACCATCTTCTCATGCCTAGGAACTGCCAAATTCATTTATGCTTCAGGTCTTTGGACCTTGCTGCCTTCCTCAGCTCTTCCCGAGGCTGGTTTCTCCTCACCTCAGGAACCCGCCAGGTCCACTCTACCCAACAAGTGTATCTTCATCTCATGACTTTGGCTTACTATCTCAGTCTCTCAAGTCATTTATCATCCTGCCTTCTCCTCAGGTCTTACCTGTGGCCCCAGCACCTACAAAACCAGGAGTCAAAAAACATTTGGTGAATGAATAAACCAATTATTTTTCTTTAATAGCAAAATAATATATATTGTAAAAAATGTGGAAAATACAGAGTGCAAAATACAGAGAATACAACTTGGAACCCTTAGTAACATTTTAATTGTCAAAGCACCATTACTGCTTGCCCTTCCACTCCATTTTTCACCCATGCGTGCAGGTGCCTCGATGGTGTGTAGGCAGGTGGGATAATGCACAGACAGTCCTTCCAGGCCTCCTTTGGGCTCTCAAGTCCCTCAGGTCCCCTTCTTCCTATCCTTGTCCTCCAACATCAGCCTGGTTTCTGAGAATGACCCTCCTTGGGACCCAAGGCTGGTAAAGATATGGCTTTGTAACATCACCATGAGGTAGATTTGCTCTATCCCATTTCCAGATGCGAGGAGCAGGCCTCTGAGGCACACTGAAGTCAGAGGCTGCACAGCTGGTAAACAACAATTACAACCACCTGAAGCCTCTAGGCCTTGGTTCTACCTGTGGCCTTTAGAGTTTCCAGCCTGATGACCTGCCTCCTACAAGGCACCGCTCAGAGGGTCTAGGGTTCATTAGTGAAAGTTGAGGTTGGTCCCCCAGACAAATGGTGCAGTCACATCCACCAGTCCATAGACTCTTTGAGGCAGGCTCTGACAATGACCACACAGTGGGGCAGCCCTTTACACAGGATCCTCTCAGCCTCTTGACCCTCCCACCCTAACCCCTGTAGCTCAAGGACCCTAAGCTTGGGCATGGCGAGGCAGGAAGAGACAATCTCAGAGGCAGAAGGCATTTCAGGGGTGATGAGGGGACCCAGAAGGCACAGACTCTCCAGGGCAGGCATTCCCTCTATGAGAGACAGGCCAGAAGCCGACAGGCCCCTCACAGTCAGCCGGATCTTCCGGATGTCTCGAAGGTGGCGACTAATAGCCAACAGGGTGCTGTCAGCTGAAAGGGTGCAGCCCAGCACCTCCAGCCTCTGCAGGTAGCTCAGCTCCTGCAGGCCTGCATCTAGCCCAGTCTCAGTCACACGATAGGTGCCACCCAGCACTAGTGAGCGCAGGGCACGGAAGCGCGTCAAGCCCTGCAGGTGCTCATCACGGAAGGCAGGCACACGATCCAACACAATGCACTCAAGCAGGGGCAGCACAGTGGGGTCTTGCTCCTTGAGGAGCCAGGCCATGGAGATCTCACAGCTATGCAGCTCCAGGGTCCTCAGGGTGCAGGGTAAGCTGGTGATGGGCATCATGCTCAGATCAGCCACGTGTAGGCAGAGACGTTTCAGGTTAGGGCACTTCTGGCCCAGAGCCTTCATCAGGGCAGGGGACAGGTGCGGGGCCTGGGAGCCTGAGAACAGGTAGCCACCCATCCGCAGGGAATAGAGCCGGGATGCCATGTACCGGCGAAGGAGGTGCCACATGACTTTAGGCTGCATCTGTAAGAGCCAGAGACAGGGAAGAACAGGTGAGAGGTAGGGAAGTTCTTCCAAGGGTCTGCCTGTCTGGAGACAGACAAGCCTCGGACAAGCTGGGGTTCAGGTGCTCCCCTGGAAATGTGCCATTCCCCCACCAGCCTCACTTGGCCAGACACCCGCACAGGAGGAAAAAAACAATTTAACCCCACCATCCTGACTTCCAAGTTTAAACAAAAGCAATGGAGGAAAGAGAAGATAATAATAGAGCTCAGTAAAAGATCTCAGAGTGCAACAGAATGGATTCTCATTATAATTTGGAGTAAGAAAGCAGAGCAACCCACAAGTATTTTTATCTCTATCTTTTATCCCCACCTCTGACAGATATAAACAGCACAAAATGAAACTTAAAAAGGCTAAAACTGCCTAGGGCAAATTAAATCTAGGTTGGGAAAAAAAAATCTCACCCTTATAATAATAAAAGCTGCGAAGTGAACCCTGGAAAGTTAGACTTGGTAGAAAATAAACATAAATAATTGGGAGCTCAGTGTACTTCATTCATTGTATGCATATTTTATCTACTAAAAAAAAAAAACAGAAAGGAAAAAAACTGCATAGCATAAAATTTGTCCACTATTCTTGACCAATATTGGCCAAGAAAAGGTAACTCACAAGGGCAGAAGCCATGGGTGAGAAAATTTTAAATGGACATAAAACGAATGGATAAATCAACTTTTACTTGCAAAATGACAAGTTTCATTTTGATGTAGAGTTGACCCTTGAACAACCTGGGTTGGAATTCCCTGGTCCACCTCTATGCCAATACCCCCCACCCCACCCCACCCAGGTTCCACATTCACAGATTCAACTTCCCAAGGATATTAGTTGGTTGAATCTTCCCACGTGGAACCCACAGAGGAAGATGCTATAAGGGACTTGAGCATCCAGGGATTTTGGTATGAAAGGAGTTGAGAAGGGGTGAGGCAATCCTGAAACCAAGGAACCACTGTAATTAAGTTTTGGGAGCGTGAAAAGATTTTCAGCTGGTGGCGGGAGGGGACAGTGTCAGTGCCCCCAACCTCCACAAGAGTCAACTGTAATTCATAATATCAAATATTGGACAGGATATGGAGAACCAGATCTGGAGCCCTGTTGGCAGGAATTGGTCTGGTTACTTTGCAAAGCAATCTGGTGGTTTCTACTGAAATGTAAAATGTGGATACCCACTACCATTTGTTTTTTGAAAGTATAAATCTCTGTGCTTTTGCATGCAGAGAATATCTCTAGGAGGATACACAAGAAAATGGGAACATTTGCTGCCTCTAGAGGAGAGGACAGGTGACTTGGGTAACAGAAGAGGAAAGACCTTACTCTCACCTTTTGCATATTTTGAACATATTATTTTTAATGAATTATTTATTATTTTTTAATGAATTATTTAGCTTGTTTAAATGCACTCACTGACCTAGACAATACCCCTTATTTTGTTAATTTGCCCTAGAGGAACACTGGTTTCTGATAACATTGTTTTAAGAGCAGAAACTAGAGGGGAAAACATAAATATCCACTGACATAATAACAGTCACATATGTTGAGGTGTCATTAATAAGGTTAAAAACTAAGCCCGGCAGGCAGGTTTGGGAGGCTTGAATAGAGGAGGGAATGGATAAGACTGCTATGGGAACAGGGCCATAAGATGGACCACCAGGACCAGAAAAACCAGCCCAACTCTAGGAAGGCAGGGCCAGGACACATTCTGTGTCAAAGGCCATCACCCTACACCAGATACCCCAGGTGCAAACTGATGCTCCAAGTAAGAAAGCCCTCAAAAACAGAGTATGAAAGAGCCTCAAATCCTTCTTCCTGCGCAGGCCACTCCACCTGGCCCCTTGCTCCCTTACTAGTATTTCAATAATTCCACCTTTTTGATCTCCACTGTTTCTGGTGAATTCTTTCATCCCCATGCCTCTGGCCTCACCCCAATATTACACTACTGCAACATAGGTAGCAACTAAGAACAAAGTACATCTAAAGATGGGTAATTCCCCAAGATGGGGAGAAAAATGGCAAAATGATACTTGTAAGTACAACGAAAAAGAAAACAATACTATATATTTTATATGGGCACAATCATTCTGATAATAAAGGCAAACATTTATTGAGTACCTATTTGCAAGGTGCAATGTTGAGCATTGAACTAGAAAATCCATATACTACCTGGTCATGTGGCAGGTGCCCCCAGAAAAATATTTTGTTGCTGTAAGAGGTAGAGCTAAAATTCAACGCCGCCTGACTCCAAAAGCTAGTCTTGCTCTTATAGACATTGCTCTTCCCCCCACTACACCAAGTCAAGAGAGCCAATGCATAGAAGGTAGGCTGGAGGGAAATGAAGTCCTCACTTAACATCGGTGATAAATTCTTGGAAACTGCAAATTTAAGCAAAACAACATATAAGGAAAGCAGGGCATCACATAATATCATCATTTAGTTCAGCATCAGTCAGGATTGTTTTCTTCTCATCAATGTCATAATAAAGGACATAGAAGGACAATTATCAAGGATGTGTTGTATTCCACATCGATAACAGTGACAACAGTGGTTACTCTGGGGACAGCTGAGGACACAAGGGGACAACTGTCTTAGCTTCATCTGTGGCAAATATTTCAATTTTTGGTTTTTGCTAGTCTTTCTTCACTTACTGTTTTCTTTTACTGAAGTAACATCCATTGCTTTATGACATGATACAAGTTTCAGATGAGCATCATTGGTTACTTCAATGTTTTTATAGGAATTATTCATGACTTGTGTGGTTTTTTTGTTTGTTTGTTTGTTTGTTTGTTTTTGTGTGGGACCCTCGCCGTGGCGGGGAACGAACCAGCGCTGCAGAGGCAGTGCTCAACCACTGCGCCACCAGAGGAGGCCCACTTGTGTGATTTTTTTAATTAACTTTCAGTAATATATAAATTATACCTCAAAAAGCATTGTAAAACAAATGTTATAGTTAATCTCTATTATATGTGCTAAGGTGTTTAGGGATGAAGTGAACTCAAGTCTCCAGCTTACTGTAAGATGTATTTAAAAAATAAAATGGGTTGATGGATGGATACCACTGGTGGGTATCCTGTTTTCTCTATACTATTCTTTCAACTTTTATCTGTTTGAAATTTTTCATAAAATAGTGGAAAAATAATAAGCCAGTACACTGAATCAGAACCTGCATATTAACAAGATCACCACATATGATTAAAGGATAGTAAGGTTTGAGACAATGTCTTATAACACTGATTGTAAAGTAAAAAGGTGATAATAACATAAACATTATTTAACAGGAAAACAAACAAACTGTGGCATATTCATTTAACAGTAGTTAAAAGGAATGAACCAGGGCCTCCCCGGTGGCGCAGCAGTTGTGCACTGGGCTGCAAAGCTGTCCACCTCTGCAGCACCGGTTCAATCCCCAGCTTCCAGCTAGGGTCCTACATGGTGCGACAGACCTCTCCTGCCGCCTGCTGCTCCCCTCAGCAGTGTACTTCGTCAGCCTGTCTGTTCTGTTCCCTGCTCTGGCTCTGGTGAATTCTCTCACTCTTCCACACTTCTGACTGTACCCAGTGCTTGAATAAATTAATAAATCTTTAAAAATAAATAAATAAATAAAAAGGAATGAACTAGACTTACACATGCCATTTAGAACAAATCTCTAAAAAAGCAAAGTTGTGTGAATAAAGCTAGTTGTAAGTAACATAAGTAAAAAAGCATTTAGTATCTAAACTGTACAAGTGCATTGTTTTAACTTTAGAAATACATTAACAATACTGTGTATTGCTTCTGGGCACACACATAGGAAGTAAATAAAAACATGAAAGGACGGCTAAAAATTCACATTATAATTCAGGTTACCACTGAAGAAGGTTTCAAAAAGTGTGACATATATGTGTGTGTGTGTGTGTGTGTGCGCGCGCGTGTTTTGTATATATGTATAAACATTTATGTGTATTTCACACTACCTGCAGCCAAAAGCGTAAAGTTAAAAACAGGTTAAATATAGGCGGTGTGCACATGATTATTTTCAGATATTATATACATTTCTGCATATTTGAAACAACTCTTAATAAAAAGAAGAAAAAAATGAATAAAATGCAAATGGAAGAAAGTGGAAATGGTTCGGTTATACTACTGGAAATTGACTCTGAAAGTGATTTTTCCAAGAAGACTCATCAATAATACCTAATGCAGTCATCAATTAGCATTTATCGTATGTCGACTGAACTCTAGACCCTTAACGATTCTCGGTTATTCCTACTGATGGGGAAACTGAAGCCCAGAGGTCGCCAAAGAATAGGAAAGAGTAGTGGCGGGGCCCGGGGCTCCCTGCCTGGAAATCCAGGGTGGAAGGCACGGTCCTCGCGATCCAGCAACCCTAAGCCTGTGCGGCCAACCCCGCGTACCGTGTAGAGTGTCAGGTCGACGTGTCGCCACAGCCAGCGGTCGTCCACCAGCCTCTTCCACCGGTGACAGACCCTAGAGGAGGGGACCCGCCATTAGAACGACCCCGGCCGCGCCCGCACCGGACCCGTATCTCCGAACGCCGCCCCCAGGCCCAACCGCCCCTCTCCGGGAGGCCGGGTCTCACCTGGAGATGCGGATCCGGTCCCGGACCGGCAGGTAGGCGAAGATCTCCAACAGGACCGAGTCCGGCAGGTCGACAAAGGTCGACATGATCCAGACGACACGTACTTCCGCTTCCGGCTAAAGGACGCGGGACTCGCCCTGGAGAGGCGCGGATGGGGCGCGGGGTGCCGGCGGGGCGCGGGGTGCCGGCGGGGCGCGGCCGTTGGCTCCGGTAGCCGGCGAAGAGATTCAGCCGTCTGGCTTCTCGCGGCCGCCTATTTAGCCCCGGGACAAGCCAACCCTGATCCCCACACGTCGAGGGAGGGCGGGGCTAGGCCACAACCCAACCCCCAAGGCGTGGCTTGGGCCGTGACAGCTCTGGGAGCGGGCGTTGGGGGCGGGGACTGTGCTCGGGGCCGGGCAAAACTCGCGGCCCGCTGGGCGTTGGGGTCCGAGCGAGTCTGGAAGGCGCGCCTGGGGCTGTGATGAAGCCGGAGGCTGCACTGAGCAGAAGGAAGGTCCAGTCTGAAGGCCTGCGGGGCGCGGGGATGAGCGCCGAAGACTGCGGGAGGACGCGCGCAGGCGTCCGGGTTCTGAGTTGAGGTAGTCGTGGAGTGATGTCTTCCTTTTTACTTAATGCTTTTTGATGCACATGCATGAGTAGAACTTTGTAGACGTGAAATAGTTTGTTCAGAAGTCATGTTGAAATTTTCGTTTTGATAGATATCGTCAGATTGTTTCCGAAGTTGTCTGAATTGACATTCCCCCCTAATACAGAATTGCTATTTAAAATAATTTATAGGGCCTCCTGGTGGCGCGAGAGGTTAAGCCACAGCACTATGGAATGTCCGCAGCCACTGCAGCATGAGTTCGATCCACGGCCAGGGAGCTACCCACATGGCGCAGCAGACGTCTCCTGACTCCCCCGCTGCTCCCCTCAGCAGTGTATTTCAGGCAATCAGCCTGTTCTGTTTCCCAATCTGTCTCTGGTGAATCTTTTCACACCCTGCACCTCTGGCCTGTACCCCAGTTCTTGAATGCATTAATAAATCTTTAGGGCCTCCCTGATGGTGCAGCGGGTTGAGCGCAGTGCTGTGAAACTGTCCTCAGCCTCTGCAGTGCGGGTTGGATTCCCGGCCTGCCAGGGAGATACCCACATGGCGCAGCAGAACTCTCCTGCCTCGCCTGCTGCTCCCCTCAGCAATGTCTTTAGTCCGTCTGCCTGGTGAATCCTCTCACCGTCCTGTGCCTCTGACCTATACCCTAGTTCTTGTATAAGTAAATCTTCTTTAAAAAAAATTTATGAGTACTGAAACTTTATTCACACATCCCTGTATTGATAAGGTTGTTTCCATGCTTGTTACTACAAATGTTGCAGCTAAGCATTCTTTAAAATACACAGGTAGGGCTTCCCTCGTGGCGCAGGAGTAAAAGCGCTATCAAGTTATTGCCATCCAGTGCAACACTAGTTCGATCCCCAGGCAGGGAGAAACCCACATGACGCAGCAGACCTCTCCTGCCTCACCTGCTGCTCCCCTCAGCAGCGTATTTCAGTGCATCTGCCTGTCCTACTCCCCATTCTCTCTAGTGAATCCTCTCACCCCACCCTGCATCTCTGGCCTGTACCCCAGTTCTTGTATACATATATAAATAAATCTTAAATAAATAAATAAAATACATGTAGTTTAAGTTAAAATAGCTAGGTCAATCACGTTATGTTTTCATTTCTATAGGATAACCAGAAGACAGTCTGATGTGTCAAAGGAAAGGTGAGGTTTAATTTTTAATAAGTTTTGCTAACTCACTCTCCTAAGAGCCATTAATGGAAATAGAGTGTTTTAATACACATACACACAAGGAGGAATTGGAAATATTGAGAACTATCTTAAAAAAAAAGAATATCCACATTCACACTTACCCATAAATAAAAATTTAAACACTGGCTTTTACACCTATCACATTAAGAAGGCTGCATACTAGCCTTGGTGTAAGGAAACAGACCCTCTTAGCCACTGCAGCTGGGGCAGAATTGATGAAAACTCTTCAAAGATGATTTGGCAATATCAGATGACTGTTGCAGTAGTACTACTTACAGGTAGTATAACTACTAGGATTTTAAACTGTCAAAAAAAATGAAGTAGTAGAACAGGGGCAGACAGGGCAACAGGGCAGGAGGCCGGATGGTGGATGGAATGGCCACCCACCTGCCGGGGCTCTGAGATGAGAGCCACCAAAAACCCCCAAAAGGCCAAAAACCAAAAGCAAGGACTATAGTAATACAACACCCATACAATAGGGGCCTATGGGCTATAGCCAAACAAAGGACAGTACCTGATAGAGGACAGATCAACTGTCTGTGGGTTCTCACCCAGCCCACACAAGTGCAAGAGAACTCAGGCTCCAGGAACAACAACCGTGGGGTTTTTTTTACAAATGGGAAACAAAGAGCTTACTGTATCCACAAGTGGCAGCTACCTCACCCGGGTAGCGTCAGTGGTGGTCACCACCGGTCACCAGGAGTGCTGGACAGCACTGGTCAGTAGTGATGGCTACCACTGGTCACTCAGAGGTGGTATGAGAGACACCCAGTGTTAACAGCTCTTTATGAGTTAGTTGGGTTATGCCAACAACAAATAGCTCTTTCAGACACCAAGCCCGGAGCCTTTGGTGCTCCCTTCAGGCAATGTCAGAGACAGTCTCTGACAAGGTCTTCAGCTTCTCTTCCCTCCTCAGCTGCTGGATGCTTCCTTTCTTCTTTCTTCGGAGGCCAAAACGGAGTCTTCTCCTTTTTCCTTTGGATGCTGGAATCATCTGTTCCTCTTTGGGGGCTGGCATCATCTCTCCTGTTGGAGGATTGGCATAGTCTCTCTCTCTGAGCCCTCCAACCCTGCCTTATATCCTCTTTCAGGGACAAGTCTGATTGGACCAATTTTCAATCCTGTGGCTGATTGGATCATTTAGCACCAACCAGCTCATAGCTTGTACATGATTGGTCTATTCCACCATCCAGGAAGTTCACCATTACATAAAAGGGCTCTCAGGAGCAACTGCCACAACCGCCTTGTGGTGGAGCAGCAGGGTGAGAGAAAACCACTGCTCCTGCCAGCTCCCACCACTAAGGCAGCTGGGTTCTGGTAACAATTTGTCCTTCTGTGCTGTTTGGTACTGAAACTATGCAAACTAGAGGAGGTCATGGTTTTTATGAGTCCTCTCAAGTATGCTTACAATTGCAAGACACCACTCAGGCTCAGGATGCAACAACAACAATGGGGCTTATTAACAAAGGGAAGATTGGGGAGAAAGGGCCACAATGGCCACAAAGAGCCAGCTGTCTTACCTCAATGTCCACAGTATTCAGGAGTCCAAAACAAAGGCTGCTCATGCAAGATGGTGCTCTCTCCTCAACAAGACCCTAGAGACTAGTAGCACACCAATAAGTGGTGGTCAAAGATTCAACTCATGATGGCAGTTGGAGGTAGTCACAAGTGGCACCACTAAGGCAGCACCACAGCAATGCAGAAGAAATTCAGAAGCCAGGCTGGACAGTGCCAGATGCAACAGCACCAGGCAGTGATATCAGACATGCTAGAGTCAAGGGTGGCAGTCAGGGCAGTGTTGCAAGAGGATCAAAAGTATGGACAGCTCTTAAAGGTGACTGGGCACAGATAAGCAGTGCCCAATCACCTCTTTAGAGGCACAAAGCACAGGCCTGTGGTGCACAGGTCTTAGAGATGCTTGGCACAAGCCAATAGCAAACAGCTCTTTCAGAGGCAGTGCTAGAGAACCAGGCACCAGTACCCAACACTTTCAGAGGCACCAGGCATAGGCCAGCAGCACCCGTCAGCAGGTGATGGGAAAGAAGAGCCACAGCAGCAGCCAGGCAGCAGTTCCAAGCAGAGATCAGATGCAAAGTTCTCTCAATAAATGAGGTTCTGTTACAGGGCAGGGAGAGGGGCACCCCAGACCCCGCAAACCTGCCTGCTCTAAATAGGTTCTGCCATCTGCCACATCAATATGAAATATATGAGACTTTAATGAAAAGGAACTTTAATACAATCAGTAAACAATAAAGGAAAGGCAAAGAATATAGTTTCTAAATCAAGCACCCAAAGCTACCTGTCCCCTCATGAGGAAAAGTCCACTCAAGCAGGACTGGCCCAGAGCAAGGCCCCAAAGCCTGCCACAAATCTAAAGCATCTACCAGTGGGGATCCACAGAAAAGGATTAGAAACAACAGGACTAGTCTGGAGGGAAAAGAGCAAAATCACAATCAAGACAAAACCCACCATTGTCACCTCCCCACAGATCTCTCACCCACATCTGTGTCACCCAGTCCACGACCAAAAGGCAAGTGCAATTTCTTCACATGTCTCTCTGCTCCATGTGCCTCCTCCAGGTTTCCTTCTGGCTCCATCCTGTTTTCTTCCTTCTCAGTCTCTGCAGCTTCTTCTCTCCCTGCTCAACTCCACCCTCCTTTTGGGTGAGGCAGGAAACCTGGAACCTCCCCCTTTCCTGGGGACCACCCTGTTACTGTTTCAATGAATGAGTGTCCACTGAGAGTCTCCTGATCAATGAATGAGCTATCTACTGCCTGACTTATAACCCCTTCAAGGTGCCCACCTATCAAACTGGATTGGTCCATTTTTCTGAATGCTACCATTTCCAAGCCTTGACAGGTGCCAGCGTGAGCTCAAACCTGATTGGTCCTTTCATAAAACTTAAATGGCACCAGTTCAAGTTCAAATCTGATTGGTCCATTTACAAACTGTGGGGACTTTAAAATGAAACCCTGTCAGCCCATGAAATCCAAGCTGCACTGAGGCCAGGCAGTCTTATGCTGTTGGTGGGTGGGCCCTGCAGTAAAGCTGGGCGGGCACATTCCTTCCACTGCATCTGAATGGTGCCAGCCAGGTTCAAACTTGACCAATGTATCAGTCAGGGGTTTTCAAAAACCCAAACCCAACCAGACCATGAAAACCCACCCTGAGCCAGCTTTAGTCATCTTGAGGGGCACAGCAGACCAGGGGTGGGGGACATACTCAGCTGTAATCCCAACCCAGGCGCCATGATGGGTTCATCTGACAGAACAATCTTCAGGATATTGTTTGTTTTAAACAAGCAAAAAGTGTAGAGAGCAATGTATATAGTTTGATCTCACTCTTGTGTGTGTGTGTGTGTCTGTGTGTGTGTAGTCAATGAAATTCATACACAATGCATTACTGGTTTCACTTTTAAGTCTGTAGAAAAACTAAGTTGTTCATTTTTGCCCTTTAACATAACTTAAAAGTATTGTACTACTTTGTGTGAAAATACAAAATCCCTATCAATATGTTAAAATATGAAAGATTGTGTGTATCATTTCTGCTTCCTTTGAGGCATCAGAGTGTCTCCAGAAAATGCAAACTTTTAGTGGTGGTTGCCCCTGAGAAGGGGGTTAGGGATCTGAAAAGTAAAAATTTTATGCTGCCGTATACTTTTTCTTGTAAGATTTTGCATACTTTTTTTAAGATTTATTTATTTATGCATACAAGACCTGGGGTGTAGGCCAGAGGTGTTGGGGGGAGAGTGAGAGGATTCACCAGAGACAGAGTGGGGAGCAGAACAGGCAGGTTGACTGAAATACACTGCTGAGGGAAGCAGTAGGAGAGACTGCCATGTTGGTTGGCCTGGCCAGGGACCAAACTCGTGCTGCAGTGGCTGCAGATAGCTTCCTAATGCTGAGATTTAACCCCTTGCACTACCAGGAAGGCCCCCATATGTATACTTTTATACTGCTTGAAATTTTATAATGCATTACCCTTTTAAAAAACATAAATCAAAAACCCCATAAATCCCAAATATATATTTATAAATCAAACCCTATTGATATTTTCCCTCAAACAGGAGCACCCCTGCCAAAAAAAAAAAAAAAAAAAAAAAAAACTTCATGCTTTGGCAACTATCCTGTGATTGCTTAAGAAAAAAAAAATAACAATAACGAAGAATCACCAGAGGTCAAGTCAATTGTCAGGACCACAAACCCTAATCTTTCTGCCACAGTGCTCTCTAATCCAGGTTCCCCCTGGGAAGCCCACACTGTCATGCAGGGGCAGTGTCTCTTATGTGCTCTCAGTGGCCTGGGCTTCCCACTTGGAGCACCTGTCACATTGTATTGTTTTGTTTACTTCTTTACTTTCCTCCTCTAACAGCCTGAGTAAGAGGGTGGCAGGTGAGACTGGCTAGTTGTTCTATCTCCCAAACCTGCTGATAAGCTCAAATGTTGCAGAGTATGATCAGGTCTGATGGCTGATCCTAACACCAGCCAAGTTTAAGGACCAGCATTGATGGGAGCCATAGAGAAATGCCTGAGGTATGTGCAGTCTGTGGGCCAGCCCCAAGCTCTGGTGGCATCAGCCTACAAAATGTGCTGCAGCCATACCCAGGCAAGCCTGGCAGGGTCCAACAGTGGCAATACCCCAAACCCCATATTTCTGGTTCAGGGCCACTCAGGTGTGCATACAACCCCACTGAAGGCTGCCAGCATCTTGGCCTACTGCACCGCCATATACAGCTCAGCTGCAGGGTCCACCACTGATGTGAGATCACCACACCTCAGTGTAGGCCAGATCTGGACAGGTAGCTGAGTTTTCACGTATGAATACTGTGTCAGGATTGTAAACAGACCAATCAGGTTCAAGCTTCCAATGTACCAATCAGTTTCAAGCTCTCACCAGTACCACTCAAGGTTTCTGAGACCATTCAGTATTGTAAATAGACCAAGCTGATTTGAGTTCAACCAGAACTGCTTAACCAGATTTAATTGTAAATGGAATGAGACTTCAAAGGTGAGGACCCTGAAGAGGACATAAGCCAGGGCAGTAGCCAACTTAAGTCCATTCACCATTCACCAGACAGCTTTAGATCAGCTTCATCAGGACTCCTGGAAAGACCTTCACAGGCAGATTCATCAGGAAGATTTGCAGGGACAGATAACTGCATAGACTTTTTGAGACCTTTGCAGAGAACTTTGCACCTAAGCTTCACTTCAAACTGCAGCCTGATCTCTGCACCTGCCTCTAATATCCCCTGCAGTGAGTGCCCAGTGTCTCTAAAAGAGCTGTTTGCTGTTGGCTTATGTCCAGCATCTCTAAGAACTGTAACATTGGTGCCTGTTCTCTGGCACCATTATCTGCTGACCAGTGCTGACCAGCACTGCTGACCTGTGTCTAGCCATCTCTTAGAGTTATCCACTACTTATGATCCCCTAGCACAGCTTAGTACTATCCTATCTGGCATCCAGTGCTCTCCAGCCTGGCTTTTGGACTTCTTCTTTTGGCTGCTCAGTGTCACCTCAGCAGTCCCACCTGTTATCACCTCCAGCTGCCACTGAGTTGGATCCTGGTGCAATGCTTACCAGTATGCCACCAGCTTAAGGGCCTCATCAAAAGAACAGCACCATCTTACATCGCCAGCCTTTGTTTTGGATTACTGGACACGGCAGATACTATCTGGCACAGGGAAGCTATTTGTGGCCTTGGAAACTCTTTCCTTTTACCCCATCTTCCTTTTGTTAATAAACCCGATTTTTGTTGTACCCTAAGCCTGAGTGGTGTCTTCCAATTGTGAGCTCAAGGGTGAGAACTTATAAGCAGTGATCAGTCCCCAGCCTTGGCACTGTTTTACTCCTAATCAACTCCCTCCATTAGAGGGTGAGTTCCCCTCTGATGAAACCTAAAGAAGGCAACTGCCTTTAAGTTCAATGCAACAAAGGTGTCCTTGCCATAGCTCACTTACACGGGAACCCTAAAACTATCTCCTGCCCTACTTGCATACAGGAATAGTGGGAAGGGATCCCCATATGCAAATTGCTTTCCTCTGTCAGAAATGCAGGAAAACAGGGGATGACAGTTGCCCAACTTGCTCCTTAGGTTGGAATCCAGAACTCTCCCTACTGGGAAGCACATCCCCCCCATCCCACCCCACCCCTACACACACATTCAAAACACACACACACAGGCAGGCAGGCAGACAGTTCTGACGTCAGATCCTCCTGCCACCCAAACAGGGAGATGGGGCCACCCTGGGCCCTCAGTGGGCAGTCATGGAGTCTTTCATGTAGTTATGAGTTATATAATAACCACTGTGTAGGGTAAGGTGTCCTATTTCTTAGGCCTCCTCCCCTCTCACCTAGATACAGGGGAGAAAGTCTGTGCAGCAGCAGTCTTGCCCTGTAACTTCCAACTGCCCCTCTCACCCGCTCAAGACAGTTTAGCCTGCCTGGGGCTTGCAGCTGTCTGTAGCTTCCCCACTGCTCTCCATGGAACCCAAGCCCCCAAGGACCCCAGACATTTTCTCCCCTTTCAGCCGCATACTTCACAACTTCCCAATCTCCTCCTATCCATAACTGAGCATTATGATCCTGTGTTTGAGGTATCTTTGAACCAAATATCGAGAAATTTCAATTTTTAGAAAAAACTAACGCTGCCCCCAATTACAATATATATTCATTGTAGATAATTTGGGAAAACATCAAAAAGCACTAGAGACAAATGAAACTCGACAATTCCACTATTGTAACCACCACCAACACCTTGTGTACTTTCACATAAAGATAAGTGAAAGGCAAACCTTTCAATAAGCTTCTTCCAAACCTCCTTGGACAGGTACGTACCCTCATCTTAACCTAGATCTTCCAACTTCCTCTCTTGTGCTGTCTGTTGCTCTAAGATCAATCCTTACTACAACACTAATGTTATAGGACAGGGAGAGGGGCAGCCCAAACCCCGCAAACCTGCCTATTCTACATGGGTTCTGCCATCCGCCGCATCAACACAAAACATAGGAGACTTTAATGGGAAGGAACTTTAATAAAACTAGGAAACAATACAGGTAAGGCAAAGAGTCTAGTTTCTAAATGAAGCACCCAAAGTTACCCGTCCCCTCGTGGGTAAAAGTCCATCCATATGGGATCGGCCCAGAACAAGGCCCCAAAGTCTACCACAAGTCTAAAACATCTTCCAATGGGGACCCACAGAAAAGGGTCACAAACAACCAGACAAGCCCGGAAGGAAAAGAGCAAAATCAACATCAAGATAAAAGCTGCCATGGTCACCTCCCCACGGGTCTCACCCACATCTGTGTCACCCAGTCCACGACCAAAAGACAAGCGCAGTTTCTTCACATGTCTCTAGGCTCCATGCGCCTCTTCCAGGTCTCCTGGCTCCATCCTGCTTCCTTCCTCAGTCTCTTCTGCAGCTTCTCCTCTTCCTGCTCAGCTCCACCCTCCCTTGGGTGGGGCAGGGAACCTCCCCCTTTCCTGGGGACCACCCTGTTGCACTAAGACAGGAATTGCTAATCCCTTTCTGTAAATGAGGAAAATGAGAATTTGAGAGGGGAAATATCTTGTTTGGGACCATACAGCTTATTATGGGAGTGAGACTGAGGTTTTGACTCATCTTTCTGGATCCTAAGCGTATGTCTCAATATGAATAAGCCGTTCCATTCAGATTCCCTGCCCTCTCAAGGGTACTCAGAGGGCCTGGCAGGGGTTAAAGTGATGGATAAAAGTTCTAACCAGGAAGGCCCTTGAGCTGAGTTTTTGTGGCAAGGCCTGCTGGGTCAGCTCCCAAAGGCAAGCAGGACCTGACAGGTTCACAAAGCATCCATCCTTTCCACAGGACGGTCTGTTATGTCGTTTCCCTAATCTCATATCCTCGTTTGGGATATGAGAAGGTGGATTGGTTAGGTCAGAAGTAGTGGCCCCTTTTCTGAGTAAATCCCTTTAAAAGTTCATCAAACTGGGAAAATGCTGCCTACTGAAAAGGCAACTCCCCTAGCAGAAGCTGTTACACAGAACGTTGGGAGGGGTACCCCCTGCTCCACCAGCCACGAGGACTCCAGACCAGCAGAGGGGCTGCTTTGGGCCTCAAAGACAAGGCTGAGATCTGGTATGAAGCGCTCCCTGCACTTCAGCGGGGTTTGCAGTTCAACCGGTTCCTCACTTCCTCGCAGGTGCAGCTAGTTGATGTGGACTCCATTCTAGTGAGTGCCGGCATCCAGGTCAGAATCTGCCTGTTCCTTTGCTTGTAGACTGTAGACTACACCCCAGGTTCCCGGGGTAGAGCAAAGGCGACATAGCCAGAAGGAAGGAGTGAAGAAAACTGCTCGAGGCCCAGCCCCGAGAGCAGGCAGGAGGGCCGGATGCGATGGCCGTAGGGCTCGACCCCTGTTTCCGTAGCCCCAAAGCTGCAGTAAGAGACATTGTCGGGCCCAAGTACCCCACCACCCGCCAAGTACCCTGGGCGCCTCTGGAGCCCTCGTCAACTGGAGGCGTCGCCCCACACACAAAAGGGGTCACAACTAACGGCTTCCAACGGGCTGGCGCCCGGCCCACACCGCTAACTCTCCCTCCAAGCCCCGGAGCGAGCCCCACACGGATCGGGACCAGCCCACCCAGCCCGGCGCTCTGACCACAGGTGTCCCCGCCCTAGTCTCGGAACCTCAAAGCTGGTCTGGACCGGAAAGACATCGGCTGAAAGGTGGAGGGCACCGGGGAGCGGAGACGGGGAGGAGCTTCCGGCTGCGCACTTCCGTTTCTGGTTCTCGGCGTCAACTTTTGGTCCCTTCTCTGCGTTCGAGGAGGTTGTGGCGTAGGCTGCTTCGAGACTATTCGAGGTAAGGGGGACCGATGGACGGGACCGGAGTTGGGGAGCGCTGATGGGACCCGGCCGTCAAGGGTCTGCGGGCTTACGAGTGGTGAGATCCGGCTTTCTGGCGACTGGAAGGTGGAGGAGGGGCAGCCGGGGGGTTTTGCTGTCCTGGGACTCGGGCTTGGAGGAGGAGGGGAAGGTGGTAAAAGTAAGACTCAATAACCGGGGGATTCCGGGCTTGGGAGACTCCTGAAGTCCTGATTCTAACTTCCCTACCCCCACCTTCGGCCCCATGTAGAACCAGACAGAATGATCGAGGTTGTCTGTAACGACCGACTGGGGAAGAAGGTCCGCGTCAAGTGCAAGTATCCACTGGCAGCCGAGACACCATGGTCCTGTGGAGGGGATGCTTGGGCCCCCCCAGGCAACTCAGTCTGTGTTAAAGGGTGATTTCAGTTAAACCCGGGAGAGGGGTGTGGTTAAGGTCCGGGCAGAGTGCATTTAGCTATGGAATGCCTTCCTCGTTCTGCCTCCCCCTTCCATTTTCCTTAACTCCTCTGTGCACAGCACGGATGACACCATCGGGGACCTTAAGAAGCTGATCGCAGCCCAAACTGGCACCCGCTGGAATAAGATTGTTTTGAAGAAATGGTGAGTATCTTGTTAAAACTCGTAGCTGGATAGGACTAAGGCCGAAGGTTATGGTTTCTGGCAAACCATTTTGCCAGCCATTTGCTGGCAACCATTTGCTTAGACAGGGCTCTCTCAGCTTGCCTCCAAGTTGAAGAGCCTCTTGAGGCATTTCTCTGAAAGGTTTCTATCCCTTAGGTACACGATTTTCAAGGACCACGTGTCTCTGGGGGACTGTATCCTTTGTGTGACTTCCTGCGAGAAGGGTCTGCATACCCAGTCCTTGTTCTCTCTCTGTTCAATTCTGACGTTTATCATAAACATAACTGTCTAACTTAAGTGGCCCATGGTAATCATTTAGAAAACAAGAACCATGTCATTTTGTTGGAAGGAGGGTGGTTGGTGAAATATTTTCTCGCTGCTTAGAAGACATTTTGAGGTCAAAATACTTATTGCTGAGCTCCGTCCGCCTGAGGTGGACAGGCGGTCAGGGTGGAGTGAACCTCAGGCATGTCTGTTGTACAAAAGGTGCATGCACTTTTTCTATAGTTTGGATTCTCTCCAAATTGAAATTACCCAGTCCAGAATGATTTTCTTGGCCCTGGGCAAAGCCTGCAAGCCACCCTGACTCAGCTGCGAAGATGAGTGGATTGGAAGTGGGTCCTACAGTGAGATTTCCTTAATGCCTTTACTTCAGATGAAATCCATGATGGGATGAACCTGGAGCTTTATTACCAATAGAACAGAATCCTTCCCTTTTCCCTGCCCTGCCCATTTTTCCCTCCTGTCCTCACCCTTGCTGGTGTGGATGCTTGTTTCTAAAAACTCATGTTAATAAAAACTCAGATACTGCTTCTTTGTTGTCATCTTTGAGTGAGGGTTATCTAGTGGGGAGGGGGTTGGGGGTGATATCTGTTGTTCCATGTGCTCTCAGTTCTTAGAGCTCAAGATGGACTGGATCATTGAGGGAAAAATAAGCCAGCAGACAAACTGACTGGAATCCTGGCCCTGCTACCGACAGGTACCCTGGAAAGGGGAGGTTTCAGGTTCCCTTCCCCACCTTAAGGAAGAGTGGAGCTGGGCAGGGAGATAAGCTAGGAAGAGACTGGGAAAAGGACTGAAGACAATGAAGCAGCAGAGCAAGATGGAGGAAGAGAAGAAGGAGCAGCAGAGAGATGAAGACCTGGAAGAGGCACACGGAGCTGGAGAGACATGTAGAAGAAGCTGCAATTGCTTCTCAGCCTTGAACTTGTACAAGAAACTTGGGGGATATGGAAGGAGACACTTGAAAGAGACAGAGATGTGGGTGAGAGACCTGGGGGGAGATTGACAATGGCAGCATTTATCTTGACTTATATTTGGATTTTGCTTTTTTCCTGCCAAAATTGTCTGGCTCCTTCTGCCCCTTCCCTATGGTTCCCCACCAGAAGTTATCTTAGACTGATGGCTAGCTTTTGTGCCCCAGCTGCCCCCTTGTGGCCAACCCTGTTTGGGCATTTACCCACAAGAGGATGGGTAAATGGATGTTTCATGGGGAAACTTTTTTCTTTTCTCTATTGCTCACTAGTGAAAGTTCTTACTGAAGTTCTTATGCACTAGAGTATGTTTTGCCTTTATGCACCATATGGCAGAACTCTTAGAGCAGGCAGGTTTGGGGGTCCTGGGGTGCCCACTAGCACAACATTAAGAGTGAGTGGAACTGAATTTTTTTTTTTCTGCTAGGCAAAAGACAACTAAATTTGATTGCTCATTTGCAGTAAGATTTGGGGAAATCAGCCTCCTGGTCCTAAATTTCCTCCTCAAAAGGGGCACCACCTTGCTGCCCCCCCCCCCTTAATTGCAATGAGAGAATGTAATTAAAGCTGCAGGATGCCTGGCACAGTGTTATTTATGTTTCCAGTCTTCTTCCAGTTGTGAGTAGACAAAACACAAGAGATCCTCCTCTGTTCTAGCCACAGATCCTAGAGCCATATTCAGGAACTGTTCTCAAGAGCCTTAGCAGAACCTTGTTCCATCTCTTCTCTCCTGTATTAACCTGACTGATTATCCTTATCACATAAGCATGTTTAAGTCTAGTCCATTGCTCCCCTTCACTCTCAAGCACCACCCAGCCTTCTGCACAATACTACAGGAGGTGGACCTGCCTGCTGCCTGGGATGTTGCTGTCCATTGAGGATGGCTGGTTTCCATCAGTCATTTATCCTACCTGCCTCCTTATCTTCCTCCTAATAAGTTAGAAACATCTGTTTCCTAGTACCCTCACTTTCCCTATTCAGCTTCCCACTTTTACCTGTCTGTTTAAAAACAAGCCAACAAAATTTTCAATTACACAAGAGCCTCGACAAGGTAATTTCTTGTTAATTTCAAATTAGCAAAGACTAAAATCCCTCTCATCACCTGTCCTCCTGAGATCAAACCTTTCCCAGTGCATTTTTATAAATTTAATTTTTAAAAACTTAAATTTTATTTTTAAAAATGACTGCAATATGCTTATTTAAAAAGCCACATAGGGCCTCCCTGGTGGTGCAAGGGGTTAAGTCGCAGCACTATGAAGCTATTCACAGCCACTAACAGCATGAATTCAATCCCCGGCCAGGGAGCTAACACACATGGCACAGCAGACCTCTGCTGTGCCCACTGCTCCTCTCAGCAGTGTATTTCAGTAGATCTGCCTGTTCTGCTCCCCACTCTGTCTTTGGGGAATCCTCTCACCCTCACCCTCCACACCTCTGGCCTGTACCCCAGTTCTTGTATGCATAAATAAATCAATCTTTAAAAAATTTTAAAAAATAAAAAGCCAGATATTTTTCTTAGAAATCAAAAATTTTTATACCACCTCTCCTAACCGTGATAGTCATTATATATTTGAATGAACCCAGAAATTCTCTGAATTACAACCTAAGTTTTTATATTAGAATATTGTACACTGTTTAATATAAATCATTCAGCAGTTTGCTTTTTTTATGTTTTGCTTCTGGCATATTCTCATAGAAAGTATCTGTCTCATTGTTTTAAATTGGTACTTGTATTGATTTTTATTTTGCTTTTTTACATAAAAAGGCAATGTAGAGGATTTTTGTGTTGATACAATTATCCTGTCTGAAACTGGTGGTAGATGCAGGATTCCACATGTCAACCAGAACGTAGAAAGAGAAAGAATGCAGGCTGTCAGATGAATCCGCCTATATTATAAGTGAGTCGTATGACCATACTGAAGGAGGTGGAGAAGAAAGTTTCTTTGGAAGAGTAGTTTGAATAAGGCTAAAGACAAAAAGAAACACTATGGTCGTTAAATATTTTCCTTACGATGATAAGGTTTTTTTTTTTTTTGGGTGTGTGTGTGTGTGTTGAACAAATGAGAACCAGGCTTCTCACTGGTGGAGAAAGAAATCACAAACAAGTAGGTGGGTGAGTGGAAGGGAGTGGTCAGAATGAACATTAGAGCTGGAGGGATCTGTAGGAACTTGTGGCTATTTACTATGTATTTACAGACACTAGGGCAATACAGATAGGTGGATACACATGCACACACACATTTCCTTGCTTTATCCACTTAGACCAGAAGCAGTGACTACCCCTGCCCTGTGTCCCAGATTTCGGTTTCTCAATATTCTCCAATAAAAGGAACCAGGGCTTCTTGGAGAAGTTACTGTTTCATAGAGCCAGAGCAGGAAAAATACAAGCTGCATCTGGTGCATCTTGTAGGTGCTAGAAAGTAGGAAGTGCTGACGTAAAATGGATGGGAGCATGTTGAAAGGTTACAGAACCCAACCCACTGTGAAAGACTATCCATTGGCCAAATTTAGAACAACTTGAGCAGCAAATAACAAAGGTAGTATTATTAGACTGTAACCCAAAGAATAAAATATCCTTGAGCCCATGCACATATCAATAAATAATGATACGTAAATGGGGAGAAGAACAAGTTTTCATTAAAAACGGATTCTGATTAATGTAGAAGTGGAAATAAATCACATACCATTGGGTTGCCATGGTAATAGCTGCTTTAGATAAAAAGAGGTGCTAACATTAGTGGTAGCAAGTTTAAGCAGAAGAAGGATGTTTGTATGGTTTCCAAGTATCTCCCCAAAAATGTATAGGAAAAAAGTTAGAGACTGCCTTAACCAAATGATCAAAGGCATTATCACAAGTGTGGCAGACAGTCTCCACAGGGCCCCTAGTAATCCCCTGATCCTGGTGGTCACACCCTTGTGTGATCCCCTCTTGAGCATAGACTAGACCTAGCTTCTAACAAATAGAATATTTGTTAGTGAAATTTTTTTTGTGATTTGTTGATTATTTTTGAATATTTGTTGGTGAAAGTGATAGAATATCACTGCTGTGAGTAGGTTGCAAAGAATATGGCTTCTGTCTTGCTTTTTTGCTTTTTCATTTGCTCATTGATGAATGTGAGCTGCCTAACAGAGAGGCCCTCAGCCAATAGCTAGCAAGGAATTGTGTGGAAAAAAAGCCAAGTCATTGGCCCTCAGGCCCATCATCCTGTTAGCACTGAGTCCTTCCAGCAACCACACGAGCCAGGTTAGAAGTAGAACCTGCCCCAGTTAGACCTTCAGCCAACACCACAGCTGTTCTGCTGATGCCAGCTTAACTGCCTAGATTCCTAATCTATAGAAATTGTGAGATAATAGGGGCCTCCCTGGTGGTGCAGGAGTTAAAGACAGTGCTTTCAAGTTACTGCCAGCCACTACAGCAAGAGTTCAATCGCTGGCCAGGGAGCAACTCAAATGGCAGGGCAGACCTCTCCTGTCTCGCCCTCTGCTTCCCTCAGCAGTATATTTCAGTACATCTGCCTGTTCTGTTCCCTACTGTCCCTGGTGAATCCTCTCATCCCCACACCTCTGGCCTATACCCCAATTCTTGTATGCATGAATAAATAAATCTTTATTAAAAAAAAGAAATTGTGAGATAATAAAAATTAACCCACTAAGCCTAGGGGTAAAATGTTAAGCAGCAGTGATGCACTGAAAAGAGCACATCATCTCTTTGGTGTCCTTCCCAATATCCATAACCTCAATATAATGAAAAATTATCAAACCCCATTGTGACAAAACAGAGAATGAGAGATGTTCTATTCTTCAAAAGTATCAAGGTCATGAAAGACCCAGAAATAGTCATGTATTGGGCCTTCCTGGTGGCCTAGGGATTAAGTCTCAGCGCTTTTCACAAGGACCTGAGTTCGATCCCCAGCCTGGGAACTAACCTACATATGGTAAAGCAGACCTCTCCTGTCTTGCCTGCTGCTCCCCTTAGCAGTGTATTTCAGTAGATCCACCTGTTCTGCTCCCCACTCTGTCTCTGGTGCATCCTCTCACCTGCCACATCTCTGAACTACATCCCAGTTCTTCTATGCAAAAAGGAAAAAAAAATAAAGAAATAGTCACATATTGGAGGAGAGAGACTAAGGGCACATAACTGTGGATCCTGGAACATAAGAACCTTGGGAAAATTGGAGAAAGTTTTTAAGTCTTGTTTAGTTAGTAGTATTGTGTTGAGTTTTGATAATTATTCTATAGAAGTTTCTTAGCTTTGGCACTGTTTACATTTTGGGCTGGATAATTCTTTGTGTGGAGACTGCATTGCAGGATATTTAGCAGTATCCTTGGCCTCTGCCCATCAGATGCAAGTGGCATCTCCCTCTCCCCATTTGTGACCAACCAAAAATGTGTTTAGACATTGCCAGATGCCTGGGAATGAAATCACTCCTGGTTGAGAACTTCTATTATTATATAAATTGTTATTATAAGGGTGAAGAGTTTGTAAAAACTCTATGCCACTTTTGCACCTCTGTCCTAAGTTTAAAATTATCTTTTAAAATGTTAATTCATGCTTGTAAACAATCAAAATGTTATATTAAAACTTAAATCCATCATTTCTTCCAACTGCTGCACGAATGGTATTCATTCACATTTTGGATAAATCTACTTCTCTGTGCTATAAACCTATGACTTTTATACAACTAAGGTAATTACACATACTGTAATGTTCATACTTTTCAGTAACTTGCCTTATGCCTTTTTTATGCTTTGATATGTTTCTGTAAGTGATGTCAATTTTTCCATTAATTTGGAGTTTTTGTTTTTGTTATGCTCTCCTACATACAATAGTTGCTACCCGGTACCACAACTTTCTTTTTCATACAACAAACACATAACCTTGCTACAGACCAGGCACTGTCTAATGTGCTTTTATATAACTCATTTACTCTCTGCATCAAAGGGGTGTGTGTGTGTGTGTGTGTGTGTGTGTGTGTGTGTGTGTGTGTGTGCAATTATCATTTTGCAGATGGAAAAGCTGAAGTGCAGAGGTTAAATAATATTTTCAAGGTCATAGCAAGTGGGAAAGCCAACTTCATCTGTCCTGGTTGCTCTTCAGAGCATCCTGCCTCTATAATTTGTTGTGGACATGTTTTCCATGTGTTTCATGTCACTGTGCCTCATTCTTTTCAATGGTCACATGAAGGTCCATGCTATAGGTGAAGCGTAATTGAACACTTCCCTACTTACATCTTCACTTCCTTAACTACCTCCAGCCCTGAGCCCACCCCTACCTCCTCAGTGTCCCACAGGCGCCACAGACTTAATTATAAACGGGCTTAGACTGAGCTCACGATTCTACCGCCACCCCCCTCCCGTGTCCCCATGAATGGTAGTGCCAACACCCAGCAGTCACCCAGGATGGAAGCAAGAGCCAGACTGAGAGGGATTCGTGAGGTAACTAGGTTTGAAAGTAACTGGAAGATGTTTGGGTCCATGACATAGGGACAGGGTTAGCCTTGCAAAGAAAGAAATTAAAAGGAGTGGGTTAGCTTTGGACATCTGGAGGAAACAGGTGGGAAGAGGGAGGATGAAAGCCAAATTTAGGTTGCTGCTTAGCAGCTCATCACCAAGGTAACTACGTTGCTAGGGTAACGACAAAGGCAGTACCTCGTCGGCTACCGTTAGCTCCACACCGCCCTTACACTTCCTCATAGCGGGGGTGGTTGCAGGTTACGGCTTAGGAAGGCTGGAATCGCTGCCGCAGTAGCCAATCTGCTAGGCTCTGCTACGAAGACCCCAAAGGTGGGGTAGGCTCTTCTTTGAAGCTTGCCAAAGGGCGTTGAGAAGGGCGGGTTCGTATCTCTTCCCCACCACTTAGGGACCGCGGAGAGGAAGGGGGTGGGGTCTGAGTGATGCGAAGGGGCGGGGCCCAGGTAAATCGTGAGAGGATCCGCCCACTCTCCTTTATGCCCAACGGGAAGCCAGAAAACCAGACCGGACAGTTAGGCTGCCCAATGAGTGTCGTCTCCTGGGGTCCCTGAGCTACGCACTTCCAGCCAATCGGCGGCGGCAGTGGGCGGGCACGGGCGGCATAGGCGGTGCGGCGGAGGCGGAGCGGGCGCTGCGGCAGGAGGGAAGATGGCGGACGAGGAGAAGCTGCCGCCCGGCTGGGAGAAGCGCATGAGCCGCAGCTCAGGTGCCGCGGGGGTCGGGGCTGGGGCGGGGCCCGAGCTAGTGCCTGGGGCGCGATGCCATCGTCCGATTCCTGTGGGGTTTGGCTTCTCCTTGTTTTCCCTGGGTAACGGCCTCGGTCTGCCCCGTGGGGGCTGTGCACGCCCCAGGAGCCCGGAAAGCGGAGGAAACTGAGGCAAGGGGCGGGGCAGGCCCTGTGGGCTGCCGGGAGGGGAGGGGGCCTGGGATCCCGCCACTCTCTCCCGGGTGATGGTCCTGACCTTGCTGGCCCGGTAGACTCTTTTTGGCCTAATTCACCTGACGTCCCGGGTAAACGTCTCTGCACCCCACTGAGCCCTAGGGGCACCCTTGGTGTAGGATATCCCAACGCCATGCTTAAGGCGTGGCCCCAGAGTATCTCCTGGCCTAGGGTCCACAGCCTTTTCCTGCTAACATGCCTACCATCCACACCTAATGCTAAGTCTTAGATATCTGCTGCTGGTATTCTACCCGAAGACGTCCCTTGTGCTTGGGACAGATTTATGGATCATCCACAATAATGGGGCACGTTGATCTCAGCACAAAACACTGTGCCAAGTGTTTCTAGTGTATTCTCTCTGGCCACAATTCTGGGAGGTAGGTAATTACTACTCCACCCCACCTTTGCAGATGAGGAAACAACAGAAAACTTAAGGAACTGGCCCAAGGTCATTCCTTGCAAGGGATGAGGACCTAACTCTGACTCCAGTCTCCACTAATTCTTGTCATTGCAAACTCTTCAGGAGCAGACCCAGCATGTTACCCCACTCTTGCCATAGCCCATAGTAATCACAGTTGACAGTGGCAATTCCAGTTACCGAACAGCAGATACTCTGGTGAGCATTTTATAGACATTGATTATCCCCACTAGCCCCATTTGATGTCCTTATTCTCTCACCTCACCCATTCTTTGCAGATGAGAAAATTGACGTTGGGGGAGATAGAGCCCATTGCACAGGTTTTAGAGGCAGTCAAGGCTCTGCTCTCACCCTGCCACAGCCCTGGCTCATGACTGGGGCCTACAGCCTAAACCTGGCATTCTGTCCAATTCTGGGCTCCCACACCTGCCATTTCTGCTCAACTTGACCCTGACTGTCTTCCTCAATGGTGACATCCATCCATACAAGGTGCTGGGCACATATAACCCAGGCACATTCAGTCCTTAGAATGATACCGTATCTCTGCTGGGTCCTACTTCAAGCTTCTTGTCTGCAGTCTTCACTCCTTCATGCTACTCATTCTCTGGGTAACTGCTGGCCCCTAGTTCTGCAGCCCAGTACATTGGGTAGGAGTTAAGAGCAGAACTCTCATGTTGAACACACAGGGGTACAGTTCCTGCCTCCATGTCTATGTCTGGAGCAGACTAGATACTCAGAAAACATTACCCATTACTACAGTTAACAAAGATGTGGAAAGCGAGACCTCAGTTTAGTCATCTGTAAAATGGAGATAATAATAGCTCTTATACTCCTACTCTGTGCCAAACACTATCCTAAGCACTTCACAGATAGGAACTCATTCAGTCTTTATACTACAGGCAGGTACGGTTGCCTGCATTTTACAGATGAGAAACAAGGCTCAGGAGAGGTAGCTCATACAGTGAATGAGTGGCAGAGCCAGATTTCAGCCATAAGTCTGGCTGCGCCCAGTGCATGATGTGACCCACTCTCTGTTCCCCGGCATCCTCGCTTCAGCACCCTGGGTTGTTTTTCTCCAATTTGTCATGACTGAAATTATCATGTTGTCTCCTTTACTTGTCTGGTGCCTGTGTGCTCTACCTAGAATGTTAGCTCCTTAAAGACTGATGGCAGGTGATGGTGGACACGCGGGGGATTTGCTGCATGTGGCATCTCAGAGTCCGCTTCCCTATTCTGGCCTTAGGGTGGTGTCCTGTGAGCTGAATTCCTGTTTTCTGTCCCTTCAGGCCGGGTGTACTATTTCAATCACATCACCAATGCCAGCCAGTGGGAGCGACCAAGTGGCAATAGTAGCAGTGGTGGCAACAGCAGCAAAAATGGACAGGGGGAGCCTTCCAGGGTCCGCTGTTCACACCTGCTGGTCAAGCACAGCCAGTCACGGCGGCCCTCATCCTGGAGACAAGAGAAGATCACCCGGACCAAAGAGGAGGCTCTGGAGCTGATCAATGGTGAGCAAAGCTAGAGACAGGGTCAGGGTTAGGGTGGGGGGGGGAGTAGATGGAGGAACCCTCTGGTGGTGGAGAGAGCAGAGTAGGTTTTATAGAAATCACACCAGACCCTCCACCCCAGCTCACTGAACTGTCAGGGTGTAGTGTTGGCTTACCCTTGCTCATTGATGAAAGTGAACTACCTTATTGGAAGGCCTCCATCCAACAGTCAGCAAGGAACTGTGATCCTCAGTCCAGTATCTCATTAGCAACTGAATCCTGCCACTGACCACATAAGAAAGCATGATCCACCCAGTAAGGGCCTATGTATGACATGAGCCTGGCCCACATGCCACTCCCCTATTTTCTTTCCATTTGGTGTTTGAGGGTGTCCAGGGTAGAGTCGGAAAACCCAGCCTTAGGGACTGGCAGGCCTGGGTTCAGGTGGTAGCTATGCTCATGTCAGCTCCATGACCTTGGGGGACTTGCATCAACTCCGTTGAGCCCCAGTTGTCATCTCTGTAAATGGGCATTATCATATACCTACCTCCTAGGGCCCTTGAGAAGAGATAGTGTGGTATACTGTGTGCCCTCAGGCATTGGGAGCTGTTGATTGTAACATTGTCAAACAGAGTCTTGGGTCACATAGTTGGTAGGTGGGACTGGAGGTTGGAAAGGTAGCAAGTACAAAGCCAGTGGAGTTAGCAGGTTCATTCTGCCCCAAAGAAGGAGATTGTTCCTTGTGCTGTTGTTTTCCACAGTTTAGGGCAGCAGCAGGCAATCTTAAAAAGCCAGATCGTTTTGTAGGCCACATAGTCTCTGCTTTGTAAGGTGAAAACAGGCACAGATAATGTGTAAACAATGGGCATGGCTGTGTACCAATAAAAGTTTCTTTAGAAAACCAGCACAATTTGGCTCGTGGGCTATAATTCATAGCTTCCTAGTGTAGAACCAGCCAGTGTGGTCACCACACCTACATGTGGCTATTTCCATTTAAATTAGTTAAAATCAATATTAAAGATTGATTCCACAGTCACCCTAACCACGCATTAAGGGTTCAGTAGCCACATGTGACTCAGGCAGCTCTCTTAGACTGTGCTAGCCTCGGACTCCCCTACCAGAGATGCCAGAGCCCTCACTTCCCAGAGTCCTCCAGTACCTCACCTACACTCAGCCTAGTTTTTATCTGGTTCTGCCAGGTTCTGGCTGTGTGACCTCAAGCAAGTTACTTAACATCTCTGAGCCTCAGTCTTTTCACCTGGAAGGTTAGTAATATATTCATAGGACCCACCTTGGGGTAGTTTCAAGGACTCTAGCCTAATATAGGAAAGCTTGAATGACACACCTGGCCTAGTAAATATTGTATAGTTGCTAGTGGTAAGTAACAAGATTGTTGTTACTAGCGCTGTTACCCATCAGTATTGGTTGTTATTTTACTATCACATCACTTGGTCCACTACTTGGTCTGTGGGATCTTATACACACCCACACCCTCATACTGGATCTGTCTCTCCCCACTGTGTTCTCACCTCCCGACACCAGGTCTGGCCTACATTTATACATACAGCATTGTTTCGTGAACCAGTAGGAAGCAAGAAAGATTCCTGGCAGAGGAAATGGTGAATGTAAAGGCCTAGGGCTCTGCTGTGGCCAGGATTCAGGCAGGTGTGCAGGTCCTGGCCAGGCAAAGGAGGGCCTTGAGTGAGGTGAGGAGTTTTTGAGGTCTTTCCTGGATGCAGCAGGAAATGCATGACCGCATGTGTCCAGAAGAGAGTCTCCATGGTGCTTGCCTTAGAGTCTTGTGGCTAGAGTGTGAAGGGCCTGGGAAGCTGAAGGCCTAGGTCCCATTGTTGAGCGGGCGGTGAGGGGGAGATCAGGCTATCCCAGAGGAAGAGGAGGAGGTAGGTGGGGAAAATGAGAATCAGGAAATACCTCTTGGGTCTTGGGTCCTCCTTGCTGGAGTGGTCCCATTCTGAGGCTTCCAGGTCCCACAAGAGTGGGCAAGAGATAAAGAGACACTAAAAACTAAGTGGCAGAGGGTGCCACCACTGGTAGAGGAAACTTGGGGTGCAGTCTGGGGAGGAACTCACTGACTCTGAGGGATCTAAGGAAGAGATATTGTAGAGGTAACCACAAGAGGGCCTGGGGTTCAGCAGAGCAGCCAGCCTTAGGAAACCCTGGGAACAAGAGCTGGCAGGTTGGCACATGCTGGGGAGCAGCAAGTGATGGGGCCTCTCCCTTCTCTAGGACAGAAAGATGAGTGGCTGGTGGGCTGACACTGCAGAGGGGGCCTGTGAGTGCTGAGGTCAGCTTGGGTCTTGGGAAGGGTGGGGGAAGGGTTGGGGGTGTTGGGGGAGAATAAGCAGCTGGGCCCTGGGGTCAGTCAGTGCAGACTGGAGGGCCTGGTGGCAACTGGGGGAATTGTGGCTAGAGGCAGTGTGATAGAACTTGGGAGCAAGTAAGAGTTGGGGGAACAGACTCCAGAAGGTTGAGGGGCCATAATCAGGACTAGGTGATAAATTGGATAGGCAGGGTCAACTAAGGTCAAAACCAGTGTGGCCCTCCCTGCAGTCCCACAGAGATGATTCCTGATGCCAGGTGTGTATCCTCCAGTGAGTGCCTTCATTCTCAGAGCCTTTGCCATCAACTGGACACAGGATGGTCATGAAGATCAGGGGCCGGCCAGGAGCTGAATGCTCAGCAGAGCAGTGGGTTCAGTGTGTAGTGCTCACTGTCTTTATGGCAAAACATTAATTGCAGTCATTCAGGCATATGTATGGCAGGCCAAGGTCAGCACAAGGTGTCTGCACACCATCAGTCCCTGCTGCTTCCCCACAGTCCATGTAAAGAGCCCCACTCTTGGGGGATGCAGCAATTGCAGTCATTCAGGCATATGTGTGGCAGGCCAAGGTCAGCACAAGGTGTCTGCACACCATCAGTCCCTGCTGCTTCCCCACATTCCATGTAAAGAGCCCCACTCTTGGGGGATGCAGCAGGCCTGGTGGGCTCAGCGTGCACACCGTCCCATGACCTTGGATCGTGACCTTCCCCCCTTGAACACATTGTGCTGACACAGGGCTCCTCCGGAGTCAGGAGGAGGATGCTATTCAGAGGGCTCAGCAGCCTCATCTTCTCTTGCATGAGTGTGGAAGTCCTGCCAGTGGTGGTCTTGTTCCCCGTGATCAGGTCAGGACACGGGCTGCATGCTGCAACTGGCAGCCGGGCCTCAGTCTCATGAGCATACATTAGAGTGGTGCTCCCATTAACCAACGGGACAGGCTGCCTACGACAGGAACCATAGCATCCACCTTTACTGCTAAGGCGCTTTTTTTCCCCAGTGTCAGCTCCTCTGTAGCTGCTGGGCTATGGCCAAGGTTGTCAGGGATCTGAGGACCAATGCGTGTCCTTGCCAGTGTCCTTGTCTGAGGAGGCCAGAACATGGAGAAGAGGAGCAGTCCCTCCCTCCCCCACCAGTACCCAAGACCTGAGGGCTCCAGGGAGGCCCCAGGTGTGAGGAATAGATCCCCACATGCACCCCTGTGTCTGGGGTCCAAGGGTCAGTGAACATATTTGGCCCAGTGTCCCACCCAAGGTTTGTGGCCTCCTGATAGCCTAGTGACTTGAGACTGGGTCTCCAATCTCTCTGGACTCCCTGGCCAGATCTTCAGTCTCCTCAACCTCAGATATAATCCTCTCACCCTTTTCCCTGACCAGGTCTCATCCCTAGTTTATCTCTAAACCTTCACGGGGTTGGAGATCACCTTATTCAGTACATTATAAATAATTTCAGTATATCATCAGTTTGAGCTGCAAACGCAGAATACCCAGAGACTGGTGACTTAGACAACAGACATGCATTTCTCATAGCTCTGGAGGCTGAAAGTCCAAGATCAAGATTCTCACCAGTTCACTTCTGCTAAGGGCTCCGTCCCTGGCTTAGAGACGCTGCCTCCTCGCTGTGCTCACACAGCCTTTCCTTGGTGCCTGCACGCGGGGCTAAAAATGGCATGCCCGGTATCCTCCTCATAAGGCCGCTAAGCCTCTCAGATCAGGGCCCTACCCTATGGCCTTATTTAACCTGAACTGCTTCCATATAGGCCCTATTTCTAAACAGTCACATTGGGGATTATGGCTACAACATAGGAATTTGGGGGACACAAATATTCAGTCCTTATCACACAGACTGACAGTAGTAACTTGCCCTGCACCAGGCACAGCTCCAAAAGTCACCTTTATTCTTCACAACAGCCCTTCAAGGTGCAAGTTGCTCATTAGCCCACTTCACAGGCAGGAGAGTAAGGCTCCAAGGGAAAAAGTTACCTGTTAGAATTGTAGCGTTCATGACTAATGAGCTGGGATCTGAAGATAGCAGTTGTGTCCAGAGACCCCCCCCTTTGGCCTCAGGGGTAGGCTGGAGGCTATCAGCCTGTGATCGGCCAGCAGAGATGGAGGATCTCTGGGGTGCATCCAAATGTCAGGGCTCCCGAACTCCTGAAGCAGTTGGAAGGTCCTGTTCCAGAAGGGGGGTTCCTGGAGGCTCCATGCCGAGGCTGCCTAGCTCTCACCTAGAGCCCGTCGGATGAGGGTTAGATGGACACTGTCTTGTTTGGGGGTGTTGATGGAGACAGCACCCCCCCCCCAAGAGAGGCCCAAGAGAGGGGGGCCATCTGGGATGCACTATTTTCTATCCTCCACATTTTTTTCTGAGAGTCACAGAAAAAAGGCAGGAGATTCCAGGATTCCTGCCTGAAGAGCCCCAGTGGTGGATTCCTCACCCTTCTTCCCCATGACCTGTTTCTGTCTCATTTATGCATGAATTCCTTAAACATTTCTGAATACTCTCTCTGTGCGTAGCACCAGCGCTGGGACACAGCAGTGAGTAAGGCCAGCCCAGCCCCTGTCCTCCCAGTGTGAGGCAGGTGACAGGCACAAACAGGACAGGGATGATGCAGGACAGCAGGCAAGCTTTTGGCAGGAAGAAACACTGAGCAACGGCCTCAAGGTAGGGGATGAGGCAGCAGAGCAGGACTGGGAGGGACATGATATAAGGGGGTATGAGACTGACCTGAAGGGCTGCACAGGGCTCTGAGGGTTCCTTTGCATCTTGGTCTGTGACCAGACTCTAGAAAGGGGTGTTCAGGAAGGACATGTCCTTTAAGAAATAATTTCAGGCTTCCAGAAGCCTTTCTGAGAGAACCACCTGGTTAGAGAAGATTTGGGTGCTGTGAGCAAAATCCAGGCTCTTATTTGATTTTTAGACTGAGAGCAGTGTGCGTGCATGCATGTGTGTGCACCCATGCTCCCAGCTGCTGGGGCATGTAAGGCAATACCTGTACATGTCCCGGCCTGGTTCCCCAGGTGCTTGAGGCGTATGGACAGTTGTGAATCATGAAGTCAAGCAGGTACCATGGAGTGGTAAAGTGAAGGGGGGTGCACCATGCAGTCCCCCAGCTGGCATATTGAGGTACAGATAGAAGACAGGAGGACAACTCGCTAAGCTGCTTGGTTGAGACTGGAAGTAACCAAAAGTTCAGGGCCAGTAGGAGGGTAACCTAGTGAGTCCAGGCTCAAGTTGGAGTCACTGATGGATGCATCTGGCACAGGGACCTCCTAGCAGCCCCTGGAGGTATTCCCTCCCCATCAGGAGTCATGACCATATGCAGTCCAAAGAGGGTGAGGTGTCGGTGGCATCCCTAAGGCTGTCTGACCAGACAGATACAGTTTCGGTCTGAGAGAAACAGGCAGGGTTGATGGCAAGGGGTATTTGTCAAGGTCCCCCTGCCAGGCGCTCTGCTGCCTGTCACTGTGGCCTGCTGGCAAATGACTAGTGGTTCAGGCTCAGAGGCTGAAGGATGGTGAGGACAGAACAGGAATGACAGGAAGCAGGGTAGATGGAAACACGGGGCAGGCAGAGGCGAGACCTGAGATGGGAGTGGAGGATGAAACGGCCTTAGGAACAGTCGGGCAGATCAGACCAGGACTTTGCATTGTGGTTGCTGCCGTGTTGTGCAGTGAGACAGGATGGTAGGCATGTTGTCACTGTCTGCCATTTCTACTACAGTCTGCAGCAGATGGTTTATGGCAGCCTCGCAGTAAGACAGGAGCTGATGGCCCTGATGAGATTTGTGCCAGCCCAGTGTGGGCAAAGGCCCTGGCCAGATGTGGCCTCAGTACACCAAGTAGAGGCAGACAGGCATAGGCAAGCAGGAGCGATGGGCTAGTGTCACAGAGGCTGTTCAGAAACCCAGCAGCAGATTTGTCAGAGTGACTCTCACATCCAGCCTGGGCTGATGATCCCTCAGTCAGCTGGAGGTATGGGCCAGTGTGTGACCTGGACAATCAGGGACAGTCCCCCAAAGAGAGCAGCTGTCAGGCTGAACAGCCTGGCTAGAGGGAGGAACTGTCTGGGGCCAAAAATCCTGGGTTCACCCGGGAACTGTGTGCAGGGAAGAGATGGACAGGATGCTTATTCATATGCTGGGGACTGGCTAGAGCAGGACAGGCTATTCAGGGGAGGCAAGGCTGGGTCTGGGTCTCAGGAAGCTGCTAGCTGCTCCCCAGCCAAGGAACCCTAGTTGGCTGTCATGTGTGTGTATACATATACACCATGCACACACGCCTCTTTTTTTTTTTTAAGAATTTTTTTTTTTTAAAGATTTATTTATTTATATAAGCACTGGGTACAGTCAGAGGCGCAGGAGGGTGAGAGAACTCACCAGAGCCAGAGCAGAGAGCAGAACAGGCAGATTGACGACGTACACTGCTGAGGGGAGCAGCGGGTGGCAGGAGAGATCTGCGCACCATGTGGGACCCTCACCCGGTGGCTGGGGATCGAACCGGCGCTGCAGAGGCTGCAGGCAGCTTCACAACCCAGCGCTCAACCACTGCGCCACTGGGGAGGCCCCACACACGCCTCTTGTGCCCTCTGTTCCCTACCACGAGTCATGCTAGGAGCCCTCAAAATCATCCTTTACCTTCCCTCCTGTCAAGGGGATCATCACCCTGGTGGGAGATTTGTCCCACACAGAGGGTAAATCCAGTGCACACCCAACCTTGTGGGATACCCAGGAGAAGAGTCCTGCTCCGTCCCCCTTGGGGCCTGCATCTTCCCCATTGAACTTCCCAGGACTTCTACCCACTTCCAATAGACAGGACAACTGAGATCTACGTGCTGTGGACTCAGCCAACTCTTGTGGCAGAACTGGACTTGTTTCCTAGCCTGCCCACCATTCTCCTCAAAGCCTCTAGAAAATTTCCCCAACCACTGCCCTGGGTACTCTTGGGAAGTCCCAGGGTCCCTCTTCAAATGTCTGCCTGGTTGCCTGCTCTCTTACCCAACAGGAACTAGAGGTAGATTTTCTCTCAAAAGTACGCGGAAGTGTGTAGGAAGAGGTCATGCTGTATTTGTGTATATTAGGGAGGGAGAGCAACAAAAGGATCCCAGTGTAGGAGTGGGGTATGTGGCCCAACATGGCTGCTCAGTATGTGTTGACAGATGGCAGGGTATGTATATATATGTATGGCCCTTCTTCAAGGATGCGCGTGACTCCAGGCGTGACTGCCCATGTGTGCTGGGAGGAGGCATCTGCATGGGGGTTAGTGTGGGGGAGGCACGTTCCAGTGTGTGCACAGGGGAGGCAGGGCTTGCACGGCTCCTTTCTGCTCTCCTGGGGCCAGCTCCCCCCCAACCCCTACCTGTCTGCCCCTGATTGATGATGTGAAGGTCTCCCTGTTTCCTGTCCTTAGGCTACATCCAGAAGATCAAGTCGGGAGAAGAGGACTTTGAATCTCTGGCCTCACAGTTCAGCGACTGCAGCTCAGCCAAGGCCAGGGGCGACCTGGGTGCCTTCAGCAGAGGTGCGCGAGGAAAGGGCACCACCAAGCCCTGGAGGGGCCCTTCAGCCCACAGTGGGAAGCCCCTGGCAGGGTAGAGGGGAGGGACAGTCACGGGTGCACAAGCCTTTGGGGTCCACCAGGTGGCAGCACAGTCCCACCCTTGGGCCTCAGAGTCTGGCTTGGGTGGGGGATGTCAGTGCTGCAGAGCCTTCATGCTCCTGGTGTGGGAGACATGCTCCTGGTGTGGGAGTCGTTCTATGTGTCTCTGCAGTTTTCCCCATCAGGCACATGAAGGTGGCACTTCCTGTCATTTGCCTCTTCTCCTGTTAGGGGGTATAAGCTGATGCCTCTGAGAATCCAGGGCATGTCACCCAGAAACCCCATCCCTGTCCTCACAGTTTGGGGAGGAGGTGTCAAGTCAGCAGCCCTCTGGCTGGGGCAGTGAGAAGGGAGGAACAGAGGGGACTAGTTGGCCTTCTCATCCTGCCGCCCCCGCCCCCAATGTGTTTAGAGCATTAGTGAGGGGCCCAGGATGGGGCTAGAGGTGTGGAAAAGCCAGCAAAAGGCTGTTGGCCATAGGTCCACCCACCCAGGCGGGACAGATGATGTGGCAGGGTCTGAGAACTCAGCCCAGGGAGACAAGTTCATCACCAACATGTGTCTCTAAATGCACAGCAGTGGCAGCATCTCTGCTGCCATCCCTCATGCTGTCCTCAGGCTTCCAGGGCCTCCTAATGGCCCTGCCGCCCCCAGCTGGCTGAAGCACTGTGACAGGGCCATAAACCCTGTGACAGATGAGTGTGAATGGGAAGCGCAGGCAGGAGCCTCATGTGTGCACCCTGCCTGTCTGGCCTGTAGCCAGGCCCTGACCTGCGCACACCACCCCTCACGCTTCACCAGGTCAGATGCAGAAGCCATTTGAAGACGCCTCCTTTGCGTTGCGGACGGGGGAGATGAGCGGGCCTGTGTTCACAGATTCCGGCATCCACATCATCCTGCGCACGGAGTGAGGGGTGTGGGCAGCCCGGGCCTGACCTGTGTGCCAGGTGGGGCAGGGCTGCTGGGCCCACTAGCACCGGTCTCCACTAGAGGGCCAGTGAGAGCTCCTCCCTGCTTATGTCACAGTATTTATTGTTTCCAAAATGGCGGGGAGGGGGCTTTTCATGATTGGAGCCTCTGAAGTCCCTGCTCCCTGACCACCCCCCTCCATTGGGATTGCCCCTGTAAGATTGTCCTCCCCCTTTAGGAATTGACTTCAGAAGGGCAGTGGGGGTAAAGAGGCTCTCAGCTCCAGGGGGTGGGGGTGACCTGTCCCAAAGAGAAGGCCTAGTCAGCTGAGAGGCCACCTCTGTCCCCACCCTACCCCCTGGGCCAGGGCTGGGGGTTGGGGATGGTGGGGGGACTGGAGGGCCTCAAGTTGTTTCTGGTTTTGCCATGTTCCTCTATTCAATTGCATAAAGCAGATGCCCAGCATGGTGCCAGGCTGCCTGCAGAGGGGCCCTCTGCACACAGGTACCAGGTGCATCCTTGCACCCTCAATTAAACCTGGAACCATCCCTCTGCTGTCCTGTGTCTCATTTGCTTGGCTGAAGCGAGGGGAGAGGGGACTGGGTCACCTTCTACCACCACTGGTGTCCACATATCCAGCTCCATCTTCTTGAGAAACCGCTCCTCATCCTGGGCCCCACCCCTCGACCTCCTCCATCTCTCCCAGGCAGAGTGGGGGGCAGGGAGCATCCTAGCAGGAATTCACAGCAGCCAATGCCTAGGGAAGTAAAGTGCTGCTCAGCCAGCATTCCTCAAACTGGGGATCAGTAATGTTCTAGGATGCAAGGACCCTGCCTGATCCCATAGCACTGGATTCAAGTTGGGGTAGAGGTGGGAATCCTGCAAGAGCCAGACTGAAGCCCCTCAACCCTTGGTGCTCTCTGCAGTCCCCCTCCACACAGCGGCCATCTTCCCCTTAAAACAAATTATCTAACTTCCCTGTCACCACTAGCACTTCTGGCAGGTTGTACCTGGTTTCTGATGCCAGATTCAGGGCCCAATGCAGCAGCTGTTACCATGGCAACAGCAAGGGGAGGGTTTGTTGCTTATCCTCTGAGAGCAGGGCTCCTGCCCAGCCTGGAGGGTAGGGAAGCCTCCTGCTGGAACCTGATTGTAGGGGTTTGTCTTGAAGCAGAGAGGATCCCTGTGGTGGGCTTCCCCTCTTTGGGTGGGCGCTATAGGTGTAGCCCACCTTTTCCATTACCTCCATAGCTGCCATGGACCTAGGCTGGGGTCTCAGTTCAGTTAGTGTGGAAGCGGAGGGAGGTTACAACCACTTGCATCTCTACTCCTCCCAGCCCCACTCCTCTGCCACTTAATGAAATGAACTCAGATAGTGGTGGGCTGGTAAAGTTTGGAGACCTCAGCAAAATAAGACCCTGCCTGGTGATACCTCAAGGGAGACCCCCCCAGGTCTGAGTCTCACGATCCCCTGGGCTGACTCCTCTCTGGCCAGAGTCTGGAGCAATTGCTGTCTGCCTGTGCCTGCCAGAGCATTTATCATTAGGAAGGTTTAATGAATTTCCTCTCAACTCCGGCGGGCTCTGGCTGGTTGGCTGCACCTCCAGGCAAAATCTTCCATTGCCCATGGGGGCCATAAGGCAGGCAGCAGCCCCACTATTTGCACCAACGGTTCTGTGGAATCAGAGGAGCGATTGCAACCCCCTGGTTGGCTGGGGGCTGGAAGGTCTGGGATTCTGCTCCATGGTGAAGAGGCTCTGGTGTCTGAGATGCGGGGAGGAAGGGGTGCATTTTCCAGTGTGAGGACAGCAGAGAAATGGTCTTTGTGGTCCTGCCTGTCACTTTGGGCACATGTGGGTGGGTGTCTGTGTGTCTGCCCAAGTGTGTGTGTGGCTGTGTCCCTAGGTGTGTGTCTGTCCTAGGTGTCCCATTATCTGAGCCTGACTGCCTGCCTCTGTGCCCCCCCCTTCCTTTGTCTTAACTCTGCAGCAGCCAAAACCCAAATAAGAAAGAATGTTACTGTTAGATAAACATGCCCCCAGAGCCCACTCAGCGTCAAAGTGATTCATTATTAAGTGGCTGTGGCTTCCCTCATCTGCTCCACAGTCCCACCCACCCTCTCCTACCCGGAATTGGGCTGTAAATCCTAGGCCTTCAGGAGGGCGACAGTGCAGTCAGCCATCCCTTTGGTCTAGCACCTCTTAGTCCAAACTCCTCTCCAGCGGGCTGGTTTAGGGGGCAGGGCTAGATGGTTACCTCAACTCAGGTAAGGCAGGTACTGCCACAGGATAGGCTGCAGAACTCCCATGTCACCTGGAACAAAAGCCACACAAAAGTGTAAGGAGTGCTGTGTGCGTGTGTGTGCGTGCGTGTGCGCGTGTGTGTGTGTGTGTGTGTGTAAACGAAGGGGGGATGGGTGGTTATGATGCCAGGCATCGGCAGCCATCTGAGGACAGCAGCTGCTGTGCTCAGTGTGAGGAGCATGTGAGCCTCCATGTCTGCAGGTTCTGCCGAACTCAACAGCTCTCAGTCTTGAACCTTCCTTTGGGAGAATGGGGTGTTAGAAACAGAGGACTGCACTTTGCTGCCATGCTTTTGTCTCCAAAGTGTCTCAGCCTTTTTTTTAAAGCAGGTAAGAGGAGAGTGGCTCAGTGTGCTCATCCAGGCATCGATTCTTTTTCAGTGTCAAACTTGTTAATGTAAATGGAAATTAATTACTTTCCTTGATGATTTCTTTAAAAATTGGTTTTAAATGAGTGCATTAGGCAGTCACATTTATTATTCATTGGTTTTGTAGCATTATGGCCCTGGTATCCTGATTCCCCTGGAGATGGCAGCACTACGCAGAGATGATTTAATCAGGGAGGCCATTGGAGACTGGGGATCAGGGGGATTGGGAGGGGGTCCTCCCAGGGAGTAGGATTGCCACCGCTGTAGCCTCAGCACTACGGGGTCTGGCTCGGCCCGTGGGGTTCTTTGCACAATGTTCCTGCTCTGGATTCAGTGGGAACAAAGTGACTGTTCCCCACTTCCAGCCCCTCACTCTCCTTGCAGTCAGTCCCCCAGGCCAGTAGGGAGAAGGATTCTTCCCTTCGTGTGAACCCAGGCACCCTTTAATCTCCGGCAAGGCTTCTGAGGATTTAATCTCTGCTGCTTCCACCATCCCAGCTCCCTCTCTTACCCCTTCCTGCCTCTAAAACTTCCTGGCTTTGCCTTTCCTTCCCCTCCAGAAGCCCAGGCCCTTTGTTGAGGCCCTGCCCTAACCCCTTCCAGGGAAAATGGGCTCCAGGCATGGGGGTAGGGTGTGGGGGAGGCGTGTGGGGGGTGTCAATTGCAGGCACCTGGTGCACTTCCAGGCTATTTCTAGCACTTAGGTATTAGGTAACTGAGAACAGGTGTGATTCCATTAAAATTTTAAAACTACAGAGCAAAAGAAGAAAAAGGAAATGTTCTACTCTGTCTTACTCTCACACAGTCAGTTGTTAATAACCCATTTAAAAAGTTGCCAGACAGTCCAGGGATGCACCGTGATGCACCAGTGATCAATGAGTGAAAAACCAATCATGGAGAATATTCACTGGAAGCCAGTTTTTGTCACTGTGATAGAATTCATAGCTATTTTGATCAGATTGTTTTTAGGTGACCTGTTTTTGATCGAAACAACAGGTTTGTGTCTATCCATCTATATTCCCAGAAAACTCACCCTTCCAGGACCCCCTATGGCCCAGTTATAAACCTTGTGGCATGGGACAAGGAGGCCCGATTAGAATGGCTCTCCAGGCTCAACTTACCCTTCACCTCTGCCCCTCTGGACACATAGAGCAACCAGAGGATCAAATGTCAAAGGTCCCGTTTATTCCAGCAACCCAGAAAGAAAAAGTGTAAATAGAAAAAGAAACAGATCCATGCACTCAACTCCTTAGGGAGACGGGGAGCAGGATGGGTGCAGAGTGGGGAGAGAATAGTGGGTGGGGGGCAAAGAGGGAGGGCAGAGAGGGCAGAGAGACAGTGAAAGAGCTGGAAAGTCCAATCAATAAAAAGACATTCAGAGAAAGGCAGAAAGACAAGTGGAGTATCAAAATCAGATCAATAAAGGAGAACATTGAGAAAATGCACAAATAGAAATGTAAAAGCAGAGAATGAAAGCTCTCAAGTGGGGATAGGGGGGAAAAAAAGGACAGGAGAGAGAGCGCCACAGAGACGGAAGATAAACTTGAAGGGACACAGGCAGAGCAGAAAGGGCCCCCAGTGGCCATCGTGTGGCAGCATGATCTGGGGCCACCTCTAGGGGTCCCCAGCAGTGCTGATGACATGGAAGAGGGTGACATTGTAGAGCACCTGGTGGCCATTGTTCCAGGTGTAGAGGGCCCGCTCCCGGGGGTTGTAATCCAGCATGGAGATGTGGGAGTACTGGTTGTGGAAGGGCACGTCCGTGTACTCATAGCTGGACGTGTTGGTGAAGTAGGCGAAGTAGACCTTGGCTCCAGCCAGGTGGGAGTTGGTCACGTAAAGCACGCCACAGATCATGAAGGCCTCACCGGCACTGCGCTTGGGGTAGCCAGTGTCCCAGGACCGCATGACCTCGAGCGTGTGTGGGTCCAGCCGGCTGACCACGATGTTGCCTGCATTCTGATTGGTGGTGTACACAGCCCAGAGCCCGCTCTCGTCCACCATGAAGTCCATGTCGGAGAAGCCGCCCCAGGAATAGGGGAAGGTGTTGTTGTAGCCGGCCCCTGGGAGGCTCCTCTGCACCAGCACAGAGCGCGAGCGGAAGTGGTACTTGACCACCACATTGCTCTGGTACTTGTTATAGAACAAGGAGCCATTGTACACCACGTGGCCTGTGCCTGCCCAAGGCTGGGGCAGCAGGTGCTGGATAAAGTTCTGGCCTTTGATGAAGTCTCCCAGAGTGCGGAACTCCAGGACTCGGCGGCCCTTGTAATAGCCATCCATGTACCAGACCTACGGGAGAGCTGCTGGTCACAGGGGGGACCACAGCCAATGACCCAGAGGTTCCAGCAACCACTCAGGCATCAACCATGACCATCAGGGATCAACAGTCACTAAGTGTTCATTACTCAGAATGGGACTTCTAGTCACCATTCATGACCAATCATGACAAGGCTAGTGACAAGGATGATTGGTCTTGAAATAGGCACAAAACGAACAGTGTTTGATTCCTAAACATATGGGGGATTACAGTCTCTAGTCACACTCTGACCAGACTCTAGTCCACTGGTCATTGGATGTGGGGTAGTTAGAGGCTATTGGACAGGCTTTGAGTGATAAGAGGTCACTTGAGTTCATTGCGCATAGGTAACCCCTCTGACTACAAGGTGACCGGGTGTGGCATCATCACTCACTAATAATGGTCATGTGAATTAGCATTTGTGAGTGTCCTTACTAGTTCTGGTTTTTGTGCTAAGCATCTTTAAAACTTAATGCTAAAGTCATCATGACCATTTTTTAAATCAAGTGTCAGACACTAAGGAACCTGCTTGAGGTTTCCTGGCTAAGAATTGGTAAAAGCAGTATGCAAAATCCAAATCCCAAACCCAATCACTTGGTTGCACCACCATTACTTCTGGGAGGCCAACAATCAGCAAGCCAACCATCAAGCAGGGTGGAGCTAGTTACTACTAATCTGTGACACCCAGTGGCCACCCAATGGCCAATATCAGTCACTAGGATTGTCACTGCGCAGCTAATGGATGGTTGCTGTGGGTCAGAGGTGATGTGCCAATATGACTGTGGAGGCCACTGAGTAGTGCTGGGAGCCCTCTAGCCCTTGGAAAGGCACTGGGCACTGGGTGGTTACTTAGAGGTCAATGATCATTGGGAGTTAGTTAACGGTGCTCATTAAAGGTAAACAGACTTGGGATTCACATGGCTGGAAGTTTCTTGGTCACTAGATAGTTAAGGGGAGGTACATGCACCCCAGAGATCACAGGACACTAAGAGTATCACTGGTATAGAACTGCTAGGCAACTGTGGACAGCCACAGGCTAAGTCCTCCCTGGCTCTGACTCTAGGGGTGGGCACAACCACTTACCCGGCTATCTGCGCTGGGGGCCATCGTGTCAGTCATCCAGGAGCCAAAGCGGGACCCCATGGCCCGAATGGTGATGGGGTTACTGACTCCAGTCAGCTTCCCACAGCCTGAGAGACAGAAACAGGGAGGAGATGAGGGTGGGGGGTGGGAAGAGCCAAGGGAGGCAGGGCAAGGATGAGGCGGAGTCAGAAAACTCGGAAAATCTGAGACCAAGGATGAGAGATGCTTTGGAAATCTGGTCCTAAAAATGGAGTCAGATTGGAGGTGAGGGGCTGGAAGTGAAATGACAGGGCCGTTTACAGCTAACTCCTAGGCTTATTTTGGACTTTGCATAGGGAGATCAGAAGTCAAAGACTTCAAAACCATGTCCCACTTATGGGCACATAGATGGGATTGGGCATTGGAGGTCAAGGGTCAGGGTCAAGGGTCAAGGCATACCCAGTTTCTGGGCACAGGCGTGGAGCCGGGCCTCCAGAGCCATCACCCGCTGCTGCAGGTCCTCGTACCCGTATGCGCCCATCTCCTCCTGGATGGCTGCAAGGCTGCCAGAGAGATTCCTCACCTCCTCCCTCAGGCGCACGATGGTCCGTGTGTCTGCCTTGTACTGCTCCAGGACTGAGCTCAGGGGCAGCAGCTCTGTCATCCTGTCCTTCAGCTCCTGCCCACCAAGACAGAACCTTTGCTGATCCTGGCCTCTCACCTTTGACCCAAACCTGACCCCAACCTTTGACACATGCTTCATTTTTTCTTTGATGTATAACTGACCCTTGACCTTTGGCCCATACAGAGTCCTACACCCCCGCCAATCCTCAATTCTTCCCAGACAACACCTTACTGGGAATTAATGGGCACTGATCCCAAAACTTCCCTTGGCCTCTGACCTGAACCCAGAAAGACCTACCTGAAAGCTCTTGGCTGAGAGAGATCCATCAGCGGCTCGGAGCCGTGTGTCCAGGCTCCTCATGGGGGTCTCCATGCTACGTACATACTGGAGGTCACGGTAGGTCCGCAACTCAAGGACCTCCATGGACTGGGAGACATTCTGGACCTAGGACCAGGGAGGGTGAGGGAGAGCCAGACCCCTGTCCCAAAGACACCATGGGCAAGCTGGCAGAGCCGAAAGTCAAGCACCCAACCAACAACCTTCTTTCCCTGATCTTACCAGCAGCTTATCCCATCCATCCTTTAACTCCCAACTCATCTGGCCATCTCTCCCCTTCTGCCTGGTCTCCCTGTTGTCCATACAGTCAATAGCCAGTTTTCCATACAGTAGCCAAAGGGAGCTTTTCACAAGGAAGACGGGCTCACTTCCTCCCCCAACAGACCCGGTGCTGGTCCTGCATTCATCCACTCAGACCACTAGTTCCCTTCACTCCTAGACTTGGGCCCCGTCCCTCCTGGGGCCTCTGCCCTTGTTGACCCCTCTACTGGGTTGCTCTCACACCAGCTCCTTCTCATCCTTCTGGTCTCGAATCCTCCTCAGAGTGACCCTCTGCCCGTCCTGCAAGTAGCCCCCACCCTCTCTCCCTTTACCTGGTGATTTTCTTCTCGGCTGTGACTATCATTTGCCTCCTTCAGGTGGGACCTCAGAGGCAAACATTGTATCTAGCTTGTCGGCAGCTGAATCCCCTATGCCCAAAACCAGCCCTAATAGATGCTCAATAAATGCTTTTTTGGCTAAATGAGTGAACTGAAATTCCCTTGCCCTGGCCTCTCCTATCCTACACTGACAGCCCCCTAGCTCCCACCTCCACCTGGCCAAAGGGAGCTCCACATGACTGAGGTGGCAAACCCACAGAGAAAGCTGTATGCTTGCTGAAATATCTATATTTTCATGACATGAAGTTTGCAGAAGCTGAACAGCCAGATACCATCCTGGATGTCACAAAACATTTTTATAGCCATAGTCAGCAACCAGTGGACACCACATGGACACCCCAGATGGCCAGGGAAAGCAATTCTGGTGGTATGGGCACAAAGGCTCCTGCAGCTAGTGGACGGGAGATCCCAGGGCCAAAACGGGTCTTTTCCCTTCCCTCCCAGGCCTATTTCCTCCTTTAGATGATGATGGTGGGAGGCTGTGGTCCCTTTTAACACTGAGCTGTTAGAGGTGACTAACGGCAGTTCCGCTGGGCAGTGGCATGGGACATAATGAGTCTATAAAGGACACGGAAACACTGGGGAGACATTAAACAGAGATGTTTTATATGACCATGATGAGAAGGGGAAGGAATCTGAGCTTGGGATGAAGGGTGAGACCCTCCCCAGAGGACACAAAATGCCTTCTAAGTGGATGAGACTCGCAAACTAAAGAGCTGAGTGGGCTCTTTAGTGCACAGCCGGGCTGCAGACTGGGTCCTCCTTCCTGTCTACACACAGCATTCAGCGTCTCCAAAATATCCACTTGTAGGTGAGCCAGGTTATCCGCCAGCTCTGAGTGAACCGCACGGCAGATCTGGCCCGGGGCTGACCTGGATGGGGAAAGAGGGCAGATTGGAACCAGAAGACATTCCTGGGGAACGTGGAGGAGCCTTACCTTCTCCATCAGCTGCCGCAGCTCCCGGCTTCGGCCATCTCGGGAGCAAGTGCTCTGTGCAGGGATCACAGCCGTGCAGATGCATTTCCCGTCAGGGGCTTGAGCGGAGGTGTACAGCTGCCAGCCTTCCTCTGGGCTTTGGAAGAGAGTCTGCGGAGAGGTTGATGTTAGAGAGCAGATACCCAATTGGGAATCCATTCAACCCCTGCTGGGAGAGAAAGGGGACCCCGGGAAACAGGTGCCCTTGGCCGGGCCCCCTGGAATGTGCTAGGCCATGTTCTGAGTGCCAGCTAAAGGAGCTCCATTTACAGATGACGAGACTGAGCTATAAGGGGGTAAGGAACACGGCAAGGAATTATGGAGTTCCAACCTTTCCACAAGAGAGGAATTTTTTTTAAAAATATATTTATTTATCCATGCATACAAGACCTGGGGTACAGGCCAGAGGTGCGGGGGGGTGAGAGGATTCACCAGAGACAAGAGTGGGGAACAGCACAGGCAGATTGACTGAAATACACTGCTGAGGGGAGCAGTGGCGAGTCAGGAGAGGTCTGCTGTGCCATGTGGGTTGCTCCCTGGCCAGGTCGGGGGATCGAACTCGTGCTGCAGTGGCTGCAGACAGCTTCACAGTTTGCATCTTAACCCGTTGCACCACCAGGGAGGCCCAGGAATTCATTTTCTTACACACATTCACCTCCAAAACCATCATCAGAACATAAACCCACTTTATGTTTATGTCAGAAGTGGACCTTCCTTTCTGTTCCTCCAACCCAGGGTGACACATGGACTCCAGATATACCTGGGGGGGGGGTCACTAAACAACCCTGTTTTCACCCCCCCATTCCCACTCTCCTGGTCCCTGCCCCTGAGAAGATTGGACAAGGTTATGGCTAAAGGCGACAGAATCCTCACAGACACTTCTGTGAGGCCTCTGACCTTTGGCCCAAACCTGACCCCAACCTTTGATGCATGCTTCACCTTTTTTCTTTGATGTACAACTGACACTTGACCTTTGGCCCATATGGACAGGGCCCTATACCCCAGCCTTTGACTCCTTCCAAATTACATTTCTAGTCAGTTAATGCTGCTCAGATAATCAGGTATCGTTTTATGGCTATCTCCCAAGGCATGCTCCAGGAACACTGGCAATCTTACCAGGTATGTCAGGGAAGGGGTGCTGGATGGTCAAATAAGTTTCTACATTGCCAGGTGAAACAAGTTTCTTTAATGCAGGACTTATCAGAACCTTTAAAATGCTAATGTGAAGGGAACAGCAGGGTGGACACTTTTGGCAACAAAAATTCTGAACGATCTGGAGGGATTTGAGAAACATTGAAAAGCAGGGAAATTCAGACAGCCAATCTCATAACTTTCCAAACTCATAAGAAAATACCTAGCAAGTGCCTGTCTTATGCCAGGCATAGTTTTTGAGCTAAGGATGCGAAGGAGAAGGGTAAGGAAAACATCTGGTCAATGCCCATAGACTTGGTGGAGCAGATATCAAACTTATGACTCCACTGATAACTCCAGAACAATATGCTGCAGTGAATTCCCCAAACTACTCCCAAAAAGAAAGTACAGGGAATAAAGATCTTCCCCAAGCTTCATGTCTCAGAGAAGAGACATTTCACCCCAACTTGAGGGATGAATAAGCCTGGAGAAGGGGAGCACAGGGAATGGGACAATTTTGGCACCACAAATTCTGAACAATCTGGACATATCTGAGAATCATGCAAAAAGCATTGAATATTCAATAAATGAAACATGCTGGGCCCCCAAATCAGGTCCCCTAGGTCTTCCCCAGGACATAGTCACAGGTCCCAATATTTTTTTATCAGGGCATGATGGTCTTTGTTCTAGAAATTTCATTAAGCTCCTTCTGTATGTCAGACTGTATTCTGGATATTAAAGACACAGCAGTAAACAAAACACACACAAACGTTCCTCAAGGGGTTACATTAGAAAGAGAGAAATACACAAATAAGTAAATATCAAGTATTTAAAGAGTGATGAGTGCTATCAGGAGAAGCAATGCAGTGACGAAATTATGATGGACACTGTATTCGGGGGGTACTTAGGGATTGAGTAGTTAAGGTGACCTGGGAAGTCCTCCATGAGACAGTGTAATTTGAGTCAAGACTTGAAGGAAGTGAAGGAGAAGCCATGCAGATATCTGGGGAAGGAACTTCTAGGCAGAGAAAATAGCAAATGCAAAGGCCCTGAGGCAGGACCATGCCTGTGCTTGGAAAACCTGGAGGAAACTGCCTTGGACGTAGCAAAGTGAACACGCAATGAGGGCAGGGAGGGATGGGGCAGCACATTCAGGACCTGTGGATCACAGGGAGGACTTAGGCTTTTGCTTTGAATGGGATGGGAGCCATGAAGGGCTCTGAACAAAGAACAGCTTGTCACTTGACTCAGGTACCCTCTGGCTACTATAGGGAAAACAAACTGTGTGAGGTGGGGGTGGGAGGACGAGGGCAGGAGACCAGAGTGGAGGTTCAGGCAAGCCACAATGGGTGACAGCCAGAGGGGTAGAAGACAGTGGAAGATTCTGACCCTACCCAGAGATTCTGATAAAAGTCCAAGTGTCCTACAGGGAATTAAGCCCACAATAACTGATCTGTTGCACAATTGTTACTGATAGCCCAGCAGAGGCTTTTCCCGCAAGCTATAGCAGAGATAAACCAGGCTCTGGGTTCCCAGCAATCCCAAAGACTCCAACTAATGGCCCACCCTTTTTTCTCCCACTCACTCCAGTCTTTTTTTTTTTTTTAAAAAAAAAAAAGCATATTAGAATGTGAGCAAATGATATAATTGTACAGATGAGCTTGACTCCTCCACTAATTTATAAGGAAAACAAACCATTCATAAATGCCATCTGAAACTATTGTGATTAGTCATTCCTTTCGCCTTATGTACACCCTTCTGGAGCTTGGGGAACCCCCTGTTTACAAGTCCACGTCTCCCCATGGAGGACTGAACTCACTCACCACCCCAGCCCTCTTTGCACACAGGGATGATTCAGGTGGAGTCACCATTCAGGATCCCATACTGTCTTTGCACTGGGCAGGCAAAGGTCTCTCCCACCCAGCAGTGCCCAGCAATGCTCCTAGGAGCTAGTGAGCCAGTTCTTAAAAAAAAAAAAAAAAAAAAAAAAAACCTCCATGAACATGAGCCTAAGTATCCCACTCTGTGCACCCCCGGCACTGATCTCCAAGCAGTTTGGACAGAACCCCCAGAAGAGTCTAATTTATACAGATACAGAACAGCCCAGTTCAACATAATTAACATCTCCTTCCTACATTTCCTACTGTCCTTTGAAGCAAACAAGCCATTTTCTCTCAACATATGAAATATTGAATTGTAAAAGAGAAGCAAGATTTAAGTGGCGCACAGAGAAGGTCTCCACGGCTTTCCTAAAATAATTGTCTGCGTTGGACACACCTCGCCAGAGCATTCTCTGCAGCAGTGTAATTAAATGCCTGGGGTTGGTTGCCAAGTCTGAGCAGAGCCAAGATCCTGAGTTTCGCCTGTCAGGTTCAAGTTCAAACATACAGTCAAGTTCGTGTCCTGGGAACAGTTAGAATGTCCTGGAGAGTTTCTTGTTTGAGAGTCTAAATGCCAGCTCTCCCAGGCTGGGTTTAGCTCGGAACCAAAGTCACAATCTTGGAGGACACAGCCCAAGGGATAGAGAACAGCCTAGACTAAAGGAAACGCTTGTAACAGCAGGTGTGAGAGTCCGGGAACTCTCCAGGGACAGAAATCTCTGCTCCAGCAGCCTGTCTCACTTCGGATGTCACAAATGCATTGGAGAAGCCAGCTGATCTCTTGGCTGAGCTGCCGGTTCCAAGTTTAATATTCCTGCTAATGGGTTCTAAGAGGCCAAGCTTTGCCCTCAAGTAGCTGCTCCACAAATTGTCTTTTCTGGCTGGAATTTTTCAAATACTTCTGCATAGGCTGTTGTCCCAATTAAACAACATTCTCCATAACAGGTCCAGGATGGACTGAGTATGAGACATGCAGGGAAAGTGTTTCTCACTGCAGTGCCCAGGATCATTGTCTCAGGTGGCCACCTAAGATCTTAATTCAAAAACAATTCCCAGATGCCCTGGGAGGAGAGGGATTGCTATTTGATCCCATGGGCAGCCATCCACTGAGTACTGGCTAACAGGGATTAGCCAACAGGAATAGAGCAAGTGGCTGACTCTTAATAACACAAAGATATGATTGCCTTTGAGGCTGGATAATTTAATCAGGAGGCAGAAGTGGTTTGGAGCTTATATATTTATTTGTAACCTGCCTAGCTCCAGAGAGGACTCCAAGTGGTTTACAAGGATATGTAAAATACCACACGATAGCTCCAATTAAATAGGAGAGCAGGAATTAGATGTTTCTGGAGGGCAGCCTGCCAACCCATAGCCAAAGCCTTAAGATTTCTGCATTTGCTTTGAACACAGCCAATCTGAGCCTATGAATTTAGCCCAGGGAAATTGTATGGGCAAGCACAAAATTGCTGCAAGGATGCTCATGAAAATGTTGTTTAAATGGACAACTGGAATTTTTTTTTACCTCCGCTTGCCTGGCAATCAGGGAGCTGACTTCCAAACTTAAGGTGCCTCCACAGGAGGGACTACTACACAGCCATTAAAATTGGGGGTTAGTGGCAATTTTTATTGACTTCTTTAAATTTATCTTTCTAAATCTTCTACACAAAGCACATACTGTTCTTATAAAGTTTTTTTTCAGTTCCTTAACATTTCCTTGCAAGGGACAAACGGAAGACAAAAGTGGGGGCATGGACAGAGCCAGAAGGGAGGCTAAGAAAAACTTATCTTTTTAAAACCTAAACAACCAGCATATGGTTGGGCCCTAAATGGGACTCTAAGCTCCTCAGCAGCCAACTCAAAAAGGGAAAGCTGGTCATTTGTGCGGCTTTCAGGCTCTTGAAACAAAAGCACAGCAGATGCTCAGGAGAAAACTTAACTATTTTTGGTACCAAGAACAGGCAAGGATCTCTCCCACAGTCCTCCCAAAAGGAACCCTTGTGATGTCACCAGCATCGTCCCAGACAACATCCTTACTATAGAAATGACTGGTTCCCTCTGGATAGTTCTTACTCCTATTTCCATGGTAGAGCAGAGCGGGGT